TGAAACAATCGTGAAGATAGCAACAATGTTGATGATGAAAAGATTGATGATTAATGGGTGAATGATATAATGGTGAAGACAAGGTTGATGGTCTAGCGATTAAGCTCCAATGACGTCACTGGCGTTAAGAATGTTTGTAGGAGACTAAACAATTCATTGTGATTATTTATTAACAGTTTATAATTTTATATCTATGTTTTGAATTCAATTACTGCTTCATCTTTGCTTTACTTTTTGGTTTCCTTTTTACGTTAATATCAAATAGTTACATTAGTTTGGTTAATTAAATAAAGTTTATTCTTCTCGTCTTAACTTGCCCAATTTATGATTTGTCAACAAAGGAGAAATATAATCAAATCGAACTTTCCTCAACATACCCAAGTGTTTAATGAGATCTTAAAATAGTTCTCCATCATATTTTCATATTATTAAGTGCCTTATGGGATTAGTTTTTTTGGACTGCAGTTGTAAATACAACACTAAGCAGAGTAGTGTGACTTACACAATTTAACGTGACGTTTCATAACGTAATATGGTGTCGTCGTTTGTATGGAATCATATTTTGCTTATTTAAAACTTTTGAATATTTTTCAATTGTGTAATTTTTTCAAGTTATTTTGATTGTATATAGTTATTCTATTTTATCAACCAGACATTTTATAACTTGAAACTCAATAAACGATTTGATAAAATGATTTACCCAAAGAAAATTGTAATGACTCTTCCAAAACTTTTACAAAGTGAATGCAAAGTGAAAGCTTTGTGAAAGCACTAGGATGTGAACAGATTTTAGATTGAATGTCTTAACGTAACAAAACGTAATTGTAGGATAGTGCACCGTTACACTCGATCAGATCAGCGATTAAGAGATACTGAATTCTTTCTTGGCACATTCACAACGGCCAAAAAATATACATAATAATACTAACTAAGGTTACTCGATAATGCTAATGTAATGTATTCATGTTAACATTCTTATGTAAACAGAAACATTATATATACTAACAAAACAGACACCTAGTAGATTTATAAATGACAAACCACAAAGAAAATTTTATAGTGAAAAATATGAAGGCAAAAAGAAAATTGGCATCTTGTTATTTAAATTTAAAGTGTGGTTTGTCTCTATGTTATAGCTGTTGTTGATTAAGTTAGTTTGTGTGTTGGTGATATTGTTGAAGTTTATTTTTAAAATTTTTTGTAACTTTCAATGGAAATTGAAGAGAGTCATCATGAAAAAGGCTTTCTTACGCCAACTATTGACTTTGCAATCGAACTAAATGATTTCTGAGTTTAAAGGATGTTTGGGCGGGAAAAGAAATTATCGTTATATTTAACGATGTTATGGCTGTTTCTTTGTTATTTCCTTTTGAATTCATTGTTTTGCTCTTTATTATTTTTAATGTCCTATATTTTATATCATAATTTTGAACAAGTTCATGATCAAACGTGTTGGGATGAATAACGAGGGTTTCGTAAATAAAATATGAAATAAATCAAGATACAAACACACACACACACACACACACACACATACACACACACACACATATATATATATATATAAAAGATATAGTTGTTGAATTTGTTCGCGCTGCACATTCCATTCCACCAATATTCTCCAATCATCCATTCATTCCTCCACCATCCTTCCTTTTTTTCATTCAATTCTTCATTTAAACAAATTTTTTATTTAATTTTCTTTTTTGTTTTTTTTTCTTAATTTATTTACTTGTTCTAAATTTTTGTTTGTCCAATCGTTGAGCATGACATGAATGCTGAGTTTGAAGGAATGACTAAATGCGAGTGACTGCATGCAAACACGTTTCTTCATTTTTCCAGAGGGATTACATTTTCCATGATTAATAATCATTAGTTATTTTCAAATCCACACTACTTCAGATTATTTTCAATTTATTAAATGTTCAGTTTTTTGCATATGCGTATTTCTTTTGGTATTTGTATATATTTATTAATTAATTGAATATTTTAAAATGAATAATAATTACATACTTACTTATATACATTTTAATGTAAGTTTTGTATAATGTTTTTTAATCCCTATTCTTATTCATCTTTATACGTTTTTTATAAAAAAAATATATTTAGCACAGTAATGACGAAAACTTTCTGTTAAACTCGGAATTGGTTGCATTTGCAATGAGAATGGAGCAGTTTAGTTAATGCCACAAACTTATGATTTTTTGGTCTGAACTATCGCCATTTCAAACGATTGAACGGCAACAAAAGCTCCGCCGCAACAACAACATTTGGCCGATTATGATTTTTCGAACTGAATAATGAAATATACAATTGTCCTTTCATGATTCAGTAAAAATTAAATCCATCGCTAATGTGATTAGGTTTTTTCCTCGTTCACTACTTACTCAATGATCGAAATTATTTCCGTGTAGTTATGTCATTGTTTTGTTTGAGTTTGTATTTTTTATTGTTTTTTAATTTTTGTTCAAATGTTTGTATTGATTTCATTTTTGTTCATATTCACAATTTATAGGAAACATCATGTGTGAAATTTTATTATGAATTAATTTTTTTTTAAATCTTTTATTGCAAATAATTTGCTTCCAAGGACAAAAAACAGTGATGTCAAAATAGAACATTTTTTGCTTGTATATAGCGTTGTGGCTAAGTGATGTACGATTCATTGAGATATCTGCGCTTCTGGTCTGGTAGCTCGTGTTTTTACAATATTCTCAATGACAATTAATTTATTGTACGTAATTTTTAATAATATGATTTCAAAAAATTAAAAATAAATAAATCGAAGTTCATAAGAGTTGTTTGCAGATTTAAACGATTTATTAAGATATATTCAATAGTAATCTGAAGTTTATTTAGACAAAAAATTATAATATATTTTTTTGTTTAGTTAAAAATTTGAGTAAGTTTCATTGTTCAAATAAATAAATGATAATGATTCATAAAATTTACATCGTGGCATGGTTGTACTTATGTTGCCCTGAAGTACATGTTTTGTATGAAGACGACCACTTTTAAATTTCAACAAGTAATTAATAAATTTCAAAATAATAATTTAACTATTCAAGTAAACATAGGTGTAACGTTTTAGTTGGAAGTTTACAAGTTTCAGCCATGCGGTCATTACATTGCATTACCATCTTCTCAAATTTGCAACTTTAATTCTATTTGCCATCTTTTCACCCAAAATTTTTCCAGCCTGGATATTGCACGCACACATTCTGTAACTGACAATATATAAAGTATACATATCTCGAAAAGGTGTCTATGAACACAGCAAGCATATCAAATGCCAGCCTTTAATTGGACTGTCTCCACTGACTATTTTAGACACGCTTCACAGATGACAACCAAAAAATGGCAATGTTCGTTGAAGGTGTTTGTTGAATGTATAACTTAAGGCTACTAAAACGGAGCGTAAATGTATAAATAAAATTTTTAAATGTATGACAAATGAATAAAAATTTCTGAAAATGTATAACAACGGCAATAATATCAAAAGATCTTTAGAAAATTGTTTGATAATTTTAAAAGTCCATCATTTGGATTGCGCAGTTCCGCACATTGTACTTTGAAAATTATTCAAAATTGAAACAACAATGTAATATAATACAACATGAATCAACATTTTAACAAACCGTGAATGTAAAACAATTTGTTGTTGATGACTTACTTGAATGAACAAGTACAATTAGTTTCAGAAATTGCAAATCGGAGTCGACTGAGATCCTCCGATAAATGGTGATCTTGTGCTTCCTAAATTCAATTCGTCTCGTTTTGGAAAGAAAAAAATTTCTGTTTCATCTGCAAAAAGCTGGGACGCACTCACTGTAGATTTGGAGAAATTCAACAACATGAGCCGACATGTTTTCAAGAAACGTTTGAAACATCATTTGTTTTGACATTCTCGAGTGAAGCTAGTGCTTCTGAAGTTATTCAATAAGGGCGCTCCAGAAATTCTTCCATACATATACAGACAAATTGAATATTTGGATTATTGCGTCTAAAATTAAACTTTAAATAAATATTACTATGCCTAACAAATTTTTATTTATAATTTACAACTTTCTAACAAGACAATTTGATTAAAAACGAAAGACAAAGAAAAAACAAATTACTCATCAAATGTTTTTGGTCAGTGAACTGCTGACATACTCAGTAGATAGATAAATAGATATAACAAAACACTACCCATGTTACAACATTATTTTTTAATTTTCGTTTAACAACATTAACTCATCACATTTCAAGTACTGATTAAATTCGTCCTTGAAAATTATATAGGTGAATTTTATTGTAATTGAAGCAGCAATCAAATTTTCATTTTGTTGAGATAAACAAAAACTATGACGGCATTTCATTGAAAATATTTTAAACCTCTCATGCCGCCTGCAGCTCGAATGGATGAGTCAGGCAAGGGAAGAGTGCATTCAGACGCTCATCAACGCTACAAAAGAAAGAGGTTGGTTTGGGTGCCAGCTAGCATTTTCATCATCTTACTCAATCATCAACGTCTTCATCACTCCATTGCTCATCTTTCGTAATGATCGATTCTTTATTATATTTCGTAATGTACGTAGATCACAATATTTAAGGAGTGCTTTTGGAGAATTTCGCATCACTTGGTTTGTAACTTACGTAGACTTGCACTATCTGCGCAATATTCTTTTCTGTTCGCTATAGATCTGTCAACGAACTAACTCACCAACTTGCATGCAGTGTTTTTTATTCTTCCTTACTTATACAACTTAAATCTATCCTCTGTTCATCACGTTTACTCTGAATGAATTATAATATTCAAATCCATGGGTTAATCACTACGTAGCACATCACTCCATCATCACTTTCGCGTCATGACTTCATCATTCACGTGCATTTCAACTAATTTAGTGAACAAATATTTTTATTTATTATCTTTTATGAAGTAAGTAAAAATATTTTACACGGATTTGTTTTCTTACTGACAAACAAAACTCTCCCCAGATACGGAGACGTTGTACTGCGATGGACTGTGGGATAACGTGGCGTGTTGGCCAGACACACCAGCCGGTCAGACAGCCGTCCAACCCTGCCCTCCCTACGTCAAGGAATTCAGGAAAGATGGTTGGTACTATTTTGGAGTTTGCTGAAAGTAATTAAAATACCTCCAAATGAATGATATTACACTTTTAGTTTATTAGATTTTAAATAATATATACTTAGATTTTTAAATGTGACTGAATATATACAAGTAAACACTGCTGCTGAAATTTGAGTAAACGATAATCATTATCAAAGTAGATTTATGGTATGTAGTTTAAGAATCAGATGATCTGATATTTAAACTCGTTTTTATCATGTTGTTTTTTTCGTTGAGTGTCTGACAGAGAAAATGTTGTTCAAAAATTGAATTCTTTTTTTTCTTCAATTGAAACTACAGATGTTTCTTTTTTTGTTTATTCAATATTTCATAATTTATTTTTATTTCATTTTGCTAGCAAACTTTTTCAAAGGATTGAGAAATTATTTAAAAATGTTGTTTCGCATCTCTAAGAATGAAAAATTATAAATTTTGGTTGAGGCTGTTTAACTAACAAACGTGGCTAAGATGATGATGTTTTTGTGTCAGCTGTGATTTTTTTATTATTCTGTTAATGCTGTCACTTTTAATTTCACCATTGTCACACTGCTGTTTGTATGCATTTAAGCGGAAGAAATGTTCTGCTGTATTGCTAGAGTTACGCGGTTGTAATTGAAATTTAAATTTATCTGTTTGCTGGCAAGAAGACATTGAAAATGCAAACTTGGAAATCGAGGCTTTCCACTAAATTAGTTTAAAAAAGTTAATTGAGTTTACATTCGCTCAGCAAGAAGATTATTTTGTTTGCTTCCTTCAATTTATGGCCGGCACATTCAATGGGCCTTTTAAAGAAGTATCGCCGTTCTTATCAGCGCTATTCTTTAATTTGTTCTTTATGATGCAACGCTAACATTTGCAGAGCTTTCACAAATTGCTCCTTATTCAATTCGTTACACATATTATTTTGTGTCGCAAAATCTCTGCGATGTACTTTCAGACCGCACAACGTGCACTTGCACATACTTTATTTGTGGATTCATACGCGCAAGTTTTTGACAAACAGCATTCGAACCGCACGCGCATTAGCAACAACTCGATACGTGCCCCTTCTGACGTTGAGCTAACCTGCCAGCAATGAACAAAAAATAACTGGTAAAAATATTGTAATGATTAATCTTCTTAAAAAAAATTCTCATTCTTTAAATCGGTTCTAAAAAATAAAATAATTTAAATGATGTTTCATTTATTCGTTCAATGATTAGCCAATGCCACACGACAGTGCACAGAGGACGGCACTTGGTACTTTCTTCCAGAAACCAACCAGGCCTGGTCCAACTACAATTTCTGCAGTAAGGTCGAAGAAGAAACGTTCAACGTTAGTTTTAATGCAGTTTTATAAACCTCCAACTTGTTCAATCTTCAACGTTGCGGTCTATTGCTATTACTTTCATCTTTAATCAACCCACAAAACAGTGATCGTTATTCTTATAAAACTATTTCATCAGTGGTCATTGACACTTTTCAACATTTGGCATTAGCATATCATTTGCATATCCCATGCATACGTGTCAATTAGCAAATCATAACAAATTTCCTTACGTCCGAGACATGTCAATGTGTAAAGTCAAACAACAATAAGTGTTATAAGCAACGAGGGGTCACTGAACAAAAATTAATGTGTTGAATGGTCGTTCTTAAAATACATCATTGATATTATCATGAACAAAATTCATCATCTCCTATTAACAACAACATCAAAATGTTAACAAAATCATTTCAAGTTAATTTAAAATATTTCCCAAATTTAAAAATATGACAGTGTTCTCCAAATTATTATTGTTATTAAATTAAAACTCAAAAACTTTGATAATTTTTACTACAAATTAATAACTTTTATTATCAATAAAGTTATGTTATCAAAAATAGTGTTAATTGTTTCAAATGCGTTTTATAACAATATGTGGAAAATAAAGAATACAACAACAATCGCCTCCGAGCGCGTTTACTGAACGTTGATTAACTAATTGAACACCTTGAAAACTTCCACGGTGTGCAAGTTCGAACAAGTTGAACACCAAATAATTTGTTCATAAAACATCGCACAACTTTATTCTGAAACAAATACTCCAAGAATTTCATCTTCCCGTGAATTTTGAGGAAGCGTTAAAGATTAAAGGGAATAAAAAAACCACGATTGTAATTTAATAAAATATTATTTGGTTAATATAATAATTATCTAACTATTTTAGACCTGGTGGCATGCAATCCCTACCAATGTAAGGCATTAATACTTGGTTCTCTTAGGCACCCAACGATAATAACATTTTGCAATTGTTTTCAGCGCTGGAACATTATGCAGTTATGAATGATTTTGTGACGGTATATCTTGTTTCTAATATAGAAAAAGTAGAAAATTGCTTTTGCAAAATAAATTTATTTTAACATTATTAAATTCAAATTATTAAACAATATTTTCATCTGAGAACCTGCTGAGTGTTGTTATTATATAGAGACGCTCCTAGTCATTTAATAATAAAAAATGTAATAAACTTTTACAGACATCAACATCATATTATGCTTAGTGCAACATACGTATACATATAATTTAATGATTCAGCTGATATATAATATATTCCATGTTGAATCAATCAATGAATCAATTTATTTAATTTGCATAGCGCCATCTCATAGCTTCCAAAAGTGCTCTTCAACGTTTAACAAGCACGGTGGGCTTATGTGAATAAACGTACAATTAAGACACTGTCAGATACAGACGGGAATTATTCTGCCGCTACACTACCACGTCGTCCCTCCTTCATAAGTGCACACAATTTCTCTACACTGGTATATGATGCTAATCTGCATGCACACTCGCCCCGAAAGTGTTCACTTCAAATTGAACCACTTAGCTTACTAGACTGATTGAGATATTTTAAAATGTTCATTCGTAGATGAATAAAATATTTTTGCACTGGTTCATTGTATACATTGTAAACTTGCTAGGATTAACTTGCAAAGAAACATGTATGTAATTAATTTTTGTTGGTGGATGGTTATCAGGTAATTTCTTTAACGTTGCAGCTAAGTTGTGACTATTTTGATGTTGTAATTTCATTTCATTTTACATACACGTTTGGAAGGAAGCGATACGAAATTGAGCCACGTTTAACCTTCAGATGTCCCAGGAAGAACTGCTCAGCTGCGGCAGAACATAAAAATATTGTAAGGATTATGTTATCAACTTGGCTAAAGTTACCGAATACTGACTGAACTCTTGAACGAAAGCTGTTTAAAATGTTGTTGAATTGAAACTTAATTTATAAGTCGCCCGCCTAGACAACGTGAACGAGTGCACATAGTGAAAGAAATGATGAATTGTTTGTTTATCCTGCTTATACAAATATGGAATTTGAATTAGCCGTTGAAATGAAGCTGGCATGCATGTCATTAAAAACTGAGTTTTCAAGTTAAAATTTACTGTTGAGGGGACGAAATGATAACGTATCACTTGTATAAAATTATTTGGGAGCACATCAAAAAATAATAATTAATATTTATATTATATATTATTATTATTTATAAATATTTTTAATGAAAGTTTTTACAAGAGCTGAAACCAGAAGCCGGATCAAACTTTTTGATACCTGAAGCACGTTTTGCTGTCCAGAGATTCTCAAATTCAAGTAAAATTTTAATTTGCTCAACGTTGAATTACTAAGTACTTCGTTTTTGTAAGTTGCAAGGAAAAAATAAAAATTCTTTTTTCAAAAAATTAATAATCCTGGTTCTTATCTTAACATTATTCTTATCATTAAAATGCACGCTGCTGCATAAGAGCATTGATCCTTCGAAACAGATCTTCAACAAATAACAGTAAAATGATATTGTACCAACGAATAATAAGTTGCAAAGTTTTATAGCTGCTTTTGTATTTATTAGTTCTTATTTGCATGCATTACACAAAGTCGTGCATCTGATAAATCGTTTCAGCTTATCATGAGGCTAATCGTACAACAAACTCATTAACAAAAATTGATTTCACTAATGTATGTATATTGTACAGCGTGCCTTGTTTTAGTAAATAGTTTGAAAGAATAACACCATATAGGATAATAAAGTAAATAACAACCAAAAAAGTGAAAATAAAAAATTCAATAAAACGGAGGACGGCCTGCAAACAAAACTTTCAAAAAAACTTGATTAAAAACTGGACATATTTGTTCATAAAACATATCCGTTTGAGCAAGAGATCACTCGAAGCAATAATTTGATCCTAACAACTTTGTTCAGAATTTCTCAAAATATTCAGTAGTTTTCAGCAACAATATAAAATCCTTAGATTTCAATGAAGAAAATTAATTTCAGACATTATCAAAGAAATGGCCTCTATGTCAATTATTTATTCAATTACGAAAATAAAATTGTGCGTTTTTGAAGTTTTGACAACAGCATCCAAAACTATCGATCCAACAAACTAAAAATATTTCACATTTTTCTATTTGTAAAAATGTGTAATTTTTTCACTAATTATTAAGATATCATGTTTGACTGTCATTACGCATGTTAAAAAATTATTACCAACAACAAGTAACTGAAAATTTATGATTAAATAAAAACTTCTTCTTTTGTTAGAGGGTTACTAGCTGACCTATCAGAATTATAAGCGATACAAAAATACGGCAGTTCAGAATGTTCAAGTCGTCCCTATTGAATATTTCATGCCAAACATTTATCTTCTAACATAGTGATTAACTTTCTGACGTTGAAAAAACTTGTTTCATACGACTCTGTTTTCACTGATTTAAATTGAAGATAAAAACAATAACATACATTTTTTAGTATGAAATGAATTGAGCTATAGAACGGATCGGAAGATATTAGGCTAAATGTTATGAAAAATGAACTAAATATATTTGTCGTGAATCGTGGTGTTGATTGTTATTATTATTATTATGAGTGTTCGTTTGGCTTCAAAACATTGCTACGGAGAGAGCCGGGTCAGGTAAATGTTGTGCCAGACTATTTCAACTCATCGATCCAACAATAGCAAATTTTCTTGATCCTATTTTCAATTTAGCGAAAGTAACCTTTAGCAGATCTAAATCATTTGAACGCAATCCAAGTCGATGCATGGAATATCCCTCTGAACAATATTATCTTAAAGGTATTTGGGAGTCAAGTCATTCTTTCATTTATAAACTACAACAGCAATTCTGAATACAACTTTTTAAAAAATAAACTTTTTTGAATACAACTCTTTTCTTAACTGATAGCCAATGCAATTCACGCAAAATTGGAGTAACATTTTCAAACTTATCAAATATCATAGTGATAAAATCACACACACACACACCAAGTCACGCATACACATACACACAAACACACACACTTCAACATTTAACAATAACATCACGTTAGAATCGTTTTCGTCGGCATTACGTCCTTGTTTTATGAATTGCATCGACATAAAAATATATACAACAGGTAGAAAATATAAAATTTTTTCAGATAAAAAAATTTTAAAAGTCAGAAACATTTCTAATAATTATATTTTCAAGTGGTGTCTTCTTAAATTTGCTGTATTCTTTATAAAAGTTTTTTTGAATCCCCATTTAATCTTCATAAACAATTTTCATAAAAGGATTTAATGCCTAAAACTTATCAATTCCACTTAGAGTTATAAAAATATTTTGATGTAGTTTTATGTCGAGGTTGAACTAATTCCTCACAGACGCATCTATTAAAATTAGGAGGAAAGGACCTTTAGAAAAGTTTTGATTCAACAAGTTTTTTTTTTTTGAAAAAAAAAAGAATTTGACATGCAGCACTATTTTTTATTTTGTGTAAATGAAACTTATGAGCTAACGTAAAATGAAAAAGTAATTTTATTTTACAAACACCAAAAAACAACACTTCACCAAATATTTTTACAATACAATACACAACACAATCAAACGCTTCATCAACAAACGACCTTGTAAAAAGTTTCTGAAAACAAACAACCACAAAAAAACCTCTGATGTGACTAAAAACCTGCCACACAATTTTACAATAATAGTAAGGCGTAACTTGTTAAGAGTTTTCTGACGTTTTCAATGTTTTCAATTGAAGAAGGAAACGGGTGGATTTTTGGTGAAAAAAATATTTTCAAAACCACTAGCTCAATAAATATAACATATAACATATACCAGCAACATATAAATTGAATGAAATTCATTTTTTAAAACTTTTATGAAACTTTTTAATTTACATTCAACAAACATTGTATTAATTAACAAAGTAGTAGTAGTACTCTACTAGTAGTAGTGGTAGTAGTAGTAATAGTAGAAGTAGTAGTAGTAGTAGTAGTAGTAGTAGAAGTTGTAGAATTAGTAGTAGTAGTTGTTGTATTATTATTAGTATTAGTAGCTGTTGTTGATGTAGTAATTGCAGTAGTAGTAGTAGCAGTAGTAGTTGTTGTTGTAGTAGTAGTGGTAGTAGTAGAAAAAGAGATAAAATATTTATAACAAAGCATCAAATTGAACAAGATATATTGCATAAAATTATTGTTTCGTGTTGAAAATTAATGCCAGGTTGAAAAACGACATGTCATAAAATAAAAACTAAAATAAAATTTTGTATAACCAAAAAATTAAATTTGCTGGAAAAATTTGATACCCAATACACCAACAAACAAACAAACAGCATCAACAAATAAACAATATCAACAAACAAACAATATCACCAAAAACATCAACAAACAAACGACATCAACACAGAAATAAACAACAACATCAACACACAAACAACATCAACAAACAAACAGCATCAACAAACAAACAACATCAACAAACAAACAACATCAACAAACAAACAACATCAACAAACAAACAACATCAACAAACAAACAACATCAACAAACAAACAACATCAACAAACAAACAACATCAACAAACAACATCAACAAACATACCACGCAGCAGGAAATAATTTGAACAAAGGCATCCCATTTGAATAAAGTCGATTAAATAATTATTACTATGGGAAGCACTTTCTATGTGATAATGAGGAAGAAAGTTCTCGATGTTTGAAGATGGTGAAATTAAATGAAAATAAAACTCTTAGGGCTAGCCTTCAGAATTGAAATAAACATCACAAACATCATCATACAAACACAAACGGCATACTAACTAACATTCATAACAAAATTCAAACTACCCACAACGATAACAACAAAACAAAAAATACACCAAACAAGCACAACACCAAATAAAAAAAGACAACGATAAAAAAACACAATTACATCATTAACAACAACGAAAAAATTGTTAACCTCTGAAAGATTTTCAGCTTTGCAAACACCAAACAAAGCCAGAATGCAACAACAGAGAAGCAATTTTTAAAACCATCAATGAAAACAAAATGAAAAACTGCATCCAACCGCGATCAATCAAACAAATGAAACTTTTTCAAAAACTGAGAAACCTATTTTGCTTGTCTTCAAGTCGATAGTTGATGTGCAAATATTTAAAGTCCGTTCTTTCGTATCTCGCTTCTTCAATTGGATAATACATGATTGATTGCTTTTCTTTTGAAATTTGATGTTGTCTTATTATTTTACAGTTTTTTTTGCTTTTTTTCAAAATAGATTTTTTCTAGCTTATTTAATCTTTATTTAGCTTAATTAATTTTACTTAATCTGATTAGTTATTTTCTAACTTTTCATCTAGTTTAATTAAATTCCATCTAGCCTAATTAATTTGTATGTAATTTAATTAATCTTTGCCCAACTGAATAAAGACTTATCTAACATGTTAAATGACAATGTTTGCATTTTCATGGCATTTAACATCTAGCTATGCCAAACAATCGAACAAGCATTCCGCTACTCTTAACTGAACAGCCATTCCCACATGAGATTTGTTGTATATGTTTTTGTTTCTGTGTTTTTTAAATATTTATACTGGTTATTTTTTGGTGTTTAATTGATATCTACATTAATCATTTGTGTTCGTTAGATAAAACATTTTCATTTTTGATCAACTTTTTTAAACGAAATCATCGTCAGAGAGTTGAAATCTAAATTATTAAAAACAAATAACGGTAACAAGAGGAAATAGATTTTTGATGCAGAAGCGACAAGAAACACATGTGCAGGAAAACCATAAAGATGGCGAATTTGTTGATGAGTGGGTGCGCAGAACTTTTCATAAGAAGAACAAAAAACGAATAAAGAAGCTGGTTTTCACGCTCGCCTGCTAACAAACTATTTGCAGTATTGAAAATTTTTTCAATGTACAAATGTGAAAAAAAAACTTAAGCTGACTTAAACTTTTTTTTCAGCTGATTACAAATGATTAAAAGTAATAATTTTTGTACATTCTGCTTTTTAGCAAAAGATAAATGAATGTATTCGTGCGTTTTTAGCTGTTTTACCATCAACACAAGGTACAAAAAGTTCTCAAATTAGCCTCTATTCTATTTAATTTATTTATATTTTTATCCCACAAATGTGTGATCATATAACAATATTTTAAATTGATTCAAATTAGTTTTTCATTGCAGACAGTCATTCAAATGAAACTAATGTGATATGTGTGTGCGTGTGTGTGTGTGTTTTTTCCACTTGCTTCATTATCCATTAGCATCGGCATAGATGTTGTGAATGAATTAGTACTGGCAATCAGAAACATGGCATAACGATTTCCAAATTGTTAAAATCATAATTTTTGTTACTATATATGCCAAGTAAAATAAAAGATTTTATATTATATGTGATGAAATTTATGTAAGTTCGATAATCGTTGATTATTTAATGAATTAACTTTCTTAAAGCTTATCCCTTGTGCACCCTTGTGCGTCTGGGTTTGTTTTATTATAAATTTCAACTTCACAAATTGCCAAATAGTAGGTATTTGAAATGTTTTCTCAGTAAACTTTTTCAGCGGTTCATTTCATTTACGAAGCGTTGTATAGTTTAAAAACTTTTTTAATTATAGGTACTAAAAAAAGTATTGTGAACTTTACGAATGCAGATTAAAGCAGATTTGAGTGTGCAAGCAATAAAATGCTTCATCGTTTTTTGACCTAGAATCTCCATAATCAGTCAAATTGTTACGAGCGTAGGTACACAACTTACGTCTCCAAATTTAATGAGCTCATTTTGAATTGCAAGTTTTTTAACCTATAATTTTTGGAAAAAAAACATCTAAACAATCGTGTCACTATCCTTGCTTAGAAAAAAACCCTATGTTGTACGAAAATTTTGATAATTATTTTTTAAATTAATTATATTATCCTAAGATACGAAAAATTTTGATACATTCTCTAAAATACAAGAAATTTGTATAATATGTTTTATATTAATGGTGTTATTCTGACTATAAAGTTTATAAAACGTGGAAAATCTTACAACCCAGCGCTCTCATTTGAGGTCACCAAATTTTTATCTCTAGTTACGTAAATTTATATCCCAAAAACTTTTCAAATTTCATCGATTTTTCAATTTTTTTAATTTTAATTGTTTCAATTCAGTATCTTATTAGTAATTAATCATTTATTCTTAATGATAAGTTGATAACGAAATAGAAATTTGGAATTGTCCATTAGCTATTCATTCAGTTACAATTTATTTAATTAATTACAATTAATGTTTGCATGTGAGCAAAGCATGTAATTAATGAATGATATGTGTGAGTTTTATCTTGTAGACCACTCATGCGAGCACACGCTTCAGTCAGACATGTTTATTTTATATTGGAATTCAGTTTATTTATTTCATTTACAAAGGGAAAACATTTTCAGGCTGTAGAGCTGATAATGGAAAAATTATATTTAAAAATATTTATCTATGGTTTTTTGTTAATTTTATTCAAGTTTCTAAATCTTCAAGTCATTATTAAAATTTAAACTAAGATTACATAAAATATGCAACAATGAATTTTTTCAATAAATTGATTAGTGGTCATTTGCAAATAATAAAATAATAAATCAAAGTTAGTTAACAAGCTTTCTATTATCTTTTTTAAAAATTCCGTACCTCATTTGTCAACCCGTGTTAAATAAATTAAAAATTTTAAACATAGGTACCATTCATCTAATATTATCCATTAATTTGAAAAAATAAATGTTTTAAAACAGTAAATAACACATTGAATAATTAAGTTGAGACATCCCAAACTACTTATAAAATTATTTTTATTTTATTGAAGGTCTACTTGAGAGTTTTGAAGCAAGTTGTGAAGTTCGGTTACGCTCTATCAATGGTTGCACTCTTCCTGGCAATCTTCATCACTCTCTACTTCAGGTACGTGTACAAATTTTCTGAGTTTATATTTAAAAATATTTAAAATTGTTATTATTTTATTTATAAACCGAATTCACATTCATTTCATTCATTTACACGACTTTTGTAAAGTTTTCGATAATATTGTTTCATTTTGAAAATGTTTCTTCATTGATTGTGAATAAATAACTTTATTGCCTCATCAACCCAAATTTTTTTTATAAGGATTAAAAATTTCAATGAAACGCAGAAAGTTGCGCTGTCCTCGGAACATCTTGCACATCAATTTGTACCTCTCCTTCATCGTCAGAGCTTTCACGAACTTCCTCAAAGAGATGCTTTTCTTCTCGGGAATGGGACTCCGCAAGGATTTCATCGTCGTCGATCCCAACAATTACAAGAATATTGAATTCAGGACTGACATTACGGTTAGTGTTATTCATAATGTTCACGTTTTATGCAAATAAGAATGAATGGCGGTACAAAATTTTTATTGTTCGTTTCTTAATGCTGTCAAAACTATATAATGAAATATTCAAACCACGTCAATCGATTTATTTTCTTTATTTGCTTTTTTATTATTTTCATTGCCCGTCGGTTTTTACTTCTTTCAAAAAATTGTCACAGCACCTTCAACACCTTTAATTTTTTAATTTATTGGGAAAAATATCAATTTCATGTTTAACACAATACATAATAATATTTTTATTTACCAGCACTGGGAGTGCAAACTGCTGATGAGCCTGTTCAACTACAGCATAGTAGCCAACGCCATGTGGATCTTCGTCGAGGGCCTCTACATTCACACCCTCATATTTTTCGATATTTATGTAGAATCCAGTCAAATACATTGGTACATTGCGTTAGGCTGGGGTTAGTTAATTTAATTTATTTTATTGACACGTTGATACGTCGTGTCGCGTCACGAATTTGTTCAGAAAAATGTTGTAGAAACATTTTGAAATGCTGCTGTCATGTTTTAAATTGCCTGTTACATTTCACAGACAACAGGCACGACGCATTAACGTAAATCTATTCTGTTTTACGATGGAAATTTTAACGTTACTTTAAATGATTATTCGCATAAAGAGAGTGATGCAATTTGAAATGTGTAAATGTGCAAATCGCATAGTTGCAAATTTAAAATTTGGTAACAAAATTATTAATTCATTCGCAGATTTTTATAAATTTCTTATTTATTTACTTTTTGTTATATTTATTTTATTTGTTAATTTGAAGTGTTACTATTTTATCAAATAGTTTAAAATAAAACTCAACTTTATAACTTATTTTCAAACGTGAATTTTCAATTTGAAACGGAATTATTTTTCCAACTGAAACCAGGATTATCATTGTTGGTCATCATTCCATGGGTAGTTACAAAGGCGCTGTTGGAAGATGTTCTGTGAGTTATCTTACAAAATTAATGGCTAACTTTCATTCATAAGTTGATATGTCAAGGATAATTTTGAACTTTTGTTCAAACGTTTCGTAGAAATTAAAGTAAGGCGTAGCAGTTCGTTTAACTCCATTAAGTTATTTTATGTTAAATGTTCACGAAACTTTTTTTTATCCTGGTTGCGACTTCAGTGTATTTATATCCTTTCATTGAATGAACATTTCACCAACAGAATCATTACGCGGGAGGTCCTCAAGACTTTCTCGCTATGACGAGCATTAAAAATGCTCATTTAATTTGCAATTGAGACTCTGTCTGACATATATTTCGTTTTGTTTTGAGTTTTAGAAAAGTTTTTTAAAATTAAATTAGTTTCGATTCAGCTAAACGTTATGCGTCATTAATACTGAGTCAAAGCTTTTAACAAGTTTGTTTCTGTTGGTATTCGTTAGCAACAAATGCATTTGATAAATAACTCTCACAAATTTTTTGAAATATTTTGCTAATGTTTGATTTTTTCAAAGCATCTTCAGACCCCTTCATGGACTTTATAATTCTACTATCAATTTTTTATCTCCACTCACATTTTTATCAAAATCTTTTCTAAAACACTAACTCTCTTTCCACAAATAACTAATTGCTGCGATGTTTTTGAACATTAAATATTCATCGTTTCCAGAAATAATCTATTTTTAAGATTTTATTGTCTTTTTTGCGCTTCTTTAACTTTATGTTCTAAGAATATAATTCCAAAGTATCAACTTTCTTAAATTTATTTAATGTTTGCATTTAATTTTTCTTAATTATACCACTGTATTTTTCTACGGTTACTTTATTACTCAAACATAAATTCAAAGTCTTTCCAAAACTTTTTGCATTTTTTGTAATTCAAAAAATTTATAATTTAAAAAGTGTTAATTTTGCAATGAAACACTTGAAACATTTTTTTCCAACCGTCAACCACTAAGCTGTTGGAATGTTCACTCTGACTCAACATATTTCTGGATCATTAGAGGGCCTGTCACAATCTGCTTGGTGGTTAGTATCTTGCCAATCCACCTATCCATTCATTCATCCACCATACATTCATTCATCTATTCATTCATCAGTCCATTCTTTCATACATTTATCTATTTAATTTTTCATCTATCTATCCATTTAAACATCCATCAATTTTGCCCTCAACCACTCATCACAGACACTAAATTTATGGATACATAAATGATGCTTTAAACCTGCGCGCCATTAAACAACCGGCTAAAAAAAATTATTTTTCTTAGAAAGAAGTAAACTAAAAATAATAATTCAGTAGAAGAAAATGATAAATGGATAGATTGTAAAATTTGAATGTTGTTTATTGACGGGAAATACCGAAAGAGCAAGTTGAATGAACGTAAAGCCAAATAGCACTAAATGAATAGGAGTGTCGTCGCACGTAATAAATAACCAACGCATTAGAAGGATTGGGGAAAACTCTTCGACATCGCAACCTAGCGGCACTTTGATATATATAAATAATAAATTCCAGTAAGATGGAATGAGAAGTTATTTTCTAGTTCCGCAGTTTTTATTTTTAAAAATTTTATTTAACAAAACGTGGTAATTGTGTGTGGGCGTGTGTACGTGTGTGAGTGTGTGTGTATGAGAGAGAGAGAGAGAGTGAAATGAGAGAGAGAGTGAGTTTGTATGGATGTGTATGTGTGTGTGCTTGTGTATGTGTAAATGCGTAATTATATAAAATATGAATGATGAGAAAAAAAACCGAGATAGGTAAAAGACAGGAGAGAAAGAGAGAGAGAGAGAAAGAGAGAGAGAGAGGAGAGAGAGTAAGGAATTAAGTATCAATAGGTGTTAAACAGTACCGTGCAGTTTGCGCCCGTGATATAATTATTCGTTTTTCAATACTTTCTTATACTCATAAATTTGATTATTTTTATTGAACACCTATTCCTATGTTGTTCTTGTTGCTTATGTTGTCTATGTTTAAATTGCTTATGGTGTCTTTCTATGTTTGTGTTGTTTTATGCTGTTGAAAATGATTTTATCTCTAGTGTCGTCAGCTTTGTTTACACCGCTTATGTTTTAATGTTGTTTATTATTTGTTTTGTCCAAGTTGTTCGTGCTGTCAATAAATCCTGTTTTGTTTATTTTTCTTTTGATATTGTTCATGACGTTTGTATTTTGCGTTGTTTTTGTGTTTTCACGTTGTTTTTATTTCCCTGTTGTTTGTATTTTCATGTTTGTATTTCCATGTTGTTTGTTTTCTCCGTGTTGTTTGCAATTTCATGTTTGTATTTTATGTTGTTTGTATTTCTGTGTTGTTTGTATTTCCATCTTGTTTGTATTTCCATGTTTTTTGTATTTTCACATTGTTTGTGTTGTTTTAAATGCTGCGTTATTTATGGTGCAAGCAAGTGTGACCACTGCCCAGTGTGCCAATCATGCTTCCTCAGTTTTGCGCTCCAGTTGAGTCTTACCTTTGCAGTTCCTTTTTAATAAATCAAATATTTATGGCTCCCAAAGTGATGACGTAATATTTAGTGTAAAATAACTAACTAAACTCCATTAATTAGGCAAGACTTCAAGTACAATGTTCTTAAAAGAATGTGTGGGTGAATTGTGTGTGTATATTTCTTGAAACATCACCTCCTTTGCAGTTAAGTTTCATATTCTTCCTGAACATCATCAGAGCTCTGTTCACGAAGCTGAGGAACAACTCGTCTGAATCGCGGAACAACCAGCACAAGTGAGTTGCTGCAACTTTTATTTAATTTAATTTTTATGCGATTACTTGATGCAAAAGTAATTGATCAAAAGAAAAGAAAATGTTTGTTGATAGCACTATGGATAGTAATTGAATATACAAATGTACTTTATTTGACATCAAATGGTTTCTAATTATATTTTAATGGTTTTTATATAGCATGGCATCATCTACATTATTGTTTGATGGTCCTCTTGAAAGCAATTAAGGTACAATTGATCTGTTAGCCAGCTGGTTTTTTAATAAAAGTCATTTTATGGTAAAAAGAAGAAAATAAAAGAATTATTTAATATGCGGTTTAAAAATAAGTGAAAAACATTTTAAAGGTAAATTAATAAACATAAGAGAATCTCAAGATGAAACCATGAAACCTAGCAACAATAGCTACTCAAATCTTCTCCATTTCTTTCGCTGACGCAATGTCATGCGTGTCAAAAACTCGTCAATCAATTTAACAGCACAACCCTACCCATCCCACCTCTATAATTTGCCATCAACCTTTCATCTATTAACATTAATTTGGCATTGTTGTTGTTGAAAATGCTATCATGATCATCACTGTATCGCCCGCATTACTTAATAATATATTTTTTCATCGGTGTCAACTTTTTTACAGTTTTCAAATTTCGTATCGTTGTTTTTAAAAATTACATAACGCACCGCTAAATAATTTATTTATAATTAATTTTACAAGAAAAACGTGTTTTCAGGTGCAATTTGTCCAACCATATTAGAATTTTTGTAATTTTCTGATGAAGTTTCTTACGAAATGCCTGAAATTCTTATTTCACGAGAGACATATAACACACCGCCTTTCACAGCTTACAAGGAACTCATGTATACAATGTAAATATGACATATCATTTCACTGATGCCCATGCAGACGTCTTAACATTTCATCTGCCGTGGCAATCTTCATTAGAGACCATTAAACTCTTATTCATCAGTGACATCATCATTATTGCTTTTCTTTCACTATTATTTTTAACATCATCAAAAAATCACCATCATCATCATTACCTCCTCCTCTTTATCATCATCATCACCTCCTCATCATCACCACCATCATCATCACTCCGTCATAACAATAATAACTACAATAATTCAAGATATTTAATTCTTTTCTCTAATTGTCAGAAGAAAGCATCAATTTTATCCATACATGCGTCAATTTAGGACAATTTACACTTATTAAATATTTCTACGCGAATGCCAAAAATTGAGATCGCAAAACGTTGAATGTAGGCACAATTGCAATTTATAACACGCAACAAAATTCGGCAAAGTATTCGACAAAGAAAAATGATCAATGAATAAAAATTTGTGAGCGATACAAAACTGTGTCAAAAAAACGACCCATATTTTAACAGTGCTTGCACGAAACAGATTTTAAAAATTCATATAAACACTTTTTTCTCTCAAATTCCTCAAGAGTGACAGTTTCCTCAACTTTTTCCGTTTCTTTCTATTCCTTTTACATTTTGCTGTTGTCAACAATGTTGTTGGACTTGTTTGCGTCAACCAGTGAGAAAATATTTTTGAAAATAATAATGTGGGTCATAAAATTACGTTATATTCATGAATTTTCATCTATATTATTAATAATACATTGCCCCTGATCTTCTATGCATATAACCATTATTATTATTATACTTAAAATAATAATGATTATTATTATTATATTATTATTTTGTAATTGTTGTTGTTATTATTGATTTATATTTATTCATTTTTTTCATAAAAACTTATTAGTTCATATAACATAAATAACTTGTTGTAAAAGTAACAATCTTAAAATGGTGATTGTCCGCGGGCCGAATTCATTTCATTCGCATGTCATCAATCATTGAACAGCAAATTAATTTCAGTCAAACGTCTTTGAAATTTTAAAATTTTGATTTGGTTTCTTAGCACTTTATTGAGAAGTGATTTCTTGGTAAATTTGCTTCTCTCTTTTTCTTGCAAATTGAGTTTAAAACTCATATCAAGAACGCTTGCAGAAAATATTTTTAATCGTTTAAGATAACGAAAACATAAATTTAGTCAAATAAAAATATATTTTTCAAAATGAGACTGCTATATACTCTCCAGTAAAATATCAAAAAAAATACAACCGCTTCACTTGGGGGAAATTTTATGCAAATGTATCAAAACGCTGGGTACGTATGCATTTCTATCTAGGCATTAAATCTGTCTTTTCGCTCGGTTCTTCATTATCCTTCAGCTTTCATCCTACATGTATGTTACTAACATATGCTATTGATCGTTATTATTATATGACAATAAAATAGTTCAATTTGCAATTTGCAAAACAACAAACATGTAATCAAGCATACACTTTTTCATATAAAATAATCATATAAGTACGTAAAATTGGTTGAATGTTACTACATTTATATGAACTGTTAACACATTCAACAATACTTTTGTAGATAGATATATAATATAACGTTAATAAAAATTGAATGACAGCGCTTACAAATTTCAAACAAGCTCATGTATGCGTGTCTCTGCAAGAAGAGTTATACAGTTAGCTGACCATGACCTGACCACATCTGCTCTACTAACTTAGAAACAGACCAACTATCAAACTGATGAATGTGAACAAACTAAGTACGAACAAATAAAATGTGAAAATATAAACGAATGAAATGTAAATGGACAAAAATATAAAAAAATAACCAAAAATATATAAATAAACGGTAAAAACAAAAACTATAATAAACATATTCAAATAAGATAAACAGATAAATTTTATATTAATAAAATATGAACAAATAAAATGTGAACAACTAAAATAGGAGCGGATAAAATGTGGACCAATAAAATCTGCTCAGGAAATACTTTTATAGTGCAAATGCAGTTGTTATTAAATACCCGTGCTTTTGAATGTATGTAGATTTATTTATAGATATAGATACATATAAGTATATTTTAACTGCTTAGTCGCTTACACAAGATGAAACCAACTTGAATGAAGTTTGAGCGGAATAAATAAAGTTGTAAGCATTTTAAATCAATAGAACTTTATGATGAAAATTGTTGGGTAACCTAACCTGTTGTATGCAAATCAGCACCGATTCTGTTGTTATAGTCTTGAATATAATGACACAACCTTTAGAGAAAATTAATTCATTTCTAAGCGAAGTTTAAAACAAAGTTTAAAAGAGACTCTCTTACAAATTTCAATAATTCATCATAAAAAAGCCAGAAAAACCGAAACTTGGGCGACGAACCTTAAAAATGTTCTTGAAACAGAAACTGTAAATATTTTTTGATCTAAACAGAATAAAACACTCATATAACACAATAACAAAAAAATGTTATAAATCAATGTGTAATTTCTTCTCTCTATCTCAGCATCTGCTCAGATGAATGAATGTGACACTGACTATGTCACTGAACAAAAGACATCAGCCGAACAAAAATATGTCAAGTGCATATAAAAATAAATTTTTTTAAAAACACCAGCCAAACAAACACTCTGAGAAGTATTTTTTTTATTCCGGTGCAACATTGTTTGCACGAGATCGCTTAACAAACATTGCAAGTGATTGTAGTGCTAGCGGGCAACGCTAAGAACACTCTGTCATCCTACAATTACTTTAAAGTGTTGGTCATGGTTAAGTTGTTGGCGTGAAATTCTTTAGCTCTCATTAGCAAAGATAAAACGTTAATTGACAGCTAAATTACTTTAAATTCTGACTAACAGCTCGAATGTATAAATGTTTACTGTAAAGAAAGATGTTTTGAAATTTTTTTAAAAAACCACTAAAATTGGTGTGGAACGTACGTTGTATCACTTTTCAAAGCAAACACTATATTTATTGTGTACGTGAACATACTTACTGAAAAAAGGCATCACTTGCAGGTTAAATAAATTCAATCAAACTCAGCATCTATTTTTTTCTTTTTGAAATAGACAGTTTTTTAAATTTAAAATCTTGTCTACATCCGTAAATTAGTAAATTATAAATGATAAAATTTTATAATTATATCTTATATAATATATTATAACTATATAATAAAATTATGTAATATAGGCTAATTATAATATATTATATAATTATAAATTATAAATGAGTTAGTAAATTATAAATGATTTTTATATTATGCAATTTTATATTATACAATTTTCATGAGGATGGCCATATTTCGTTATTTTCAAAATATTCCACAAACTAAACTACACAGTTGAATGACCTGGGACTGGGATAAATGTCGAAATTGAACGTAGGCTTCGTGTGGTTGACAATACATGTGCAAGTGCTCCATTTTGAACGGTGATCACACAAATTTCACTTCGATGAAAACCACATATTTAAAACTTAAATGACATAATTTATAAAAGATAATGAAGAAATTTGGGAAGGGAGAGAGAGAGAGAGAGAGAGAGAGAGAAAGAGAGATAGAAAGAGAGAGAGTGGTTTATTTTGGTCCCTATGTTAAAATGCACACTCATTAGCACTGTTAATGATATATTCTCACTTGGTAGTTAATTCATGTGTGCTTCAATTTTATATGAATTTTTTTCACACTAAAAACTTTTGTTACAATTATTTCTATATAAATATTTTCTTTCCGAAATAGACAGTTTTTTAAATTTAAAATCTTTATCTGCTTTTTTCACATATTGAACGGTATTATTCATCCAATATTTTCAAATTAAACCAAAACTATTTATTGTAAACTGTTAAAAAATTAAATTTGAAAAATATTCATAAACAAAAATTGTACAAAAAACTTATCAGTGAGTTTAAATAAAAATTAATTTTTGTGTTGGAAATGTAATTCAATAACAGTTTAAATGATATGAGGAAGATAATCGTATCAAAAAATGAAATTCAAGAAATGAGGCAGCATTTAGATCTGGCTGGCTGATTTGAGAAGCCTCAAAATTTAATCTGCTCAAAACATTCCACATGTTTCCAAATGGTTTCAAATTTTCAAAATTATCTCAAAAAACATTTAATTAAGTCAACACTTTTTTTAAATCAACGTAATTTTGAAATGCTGTTGTGAAGGAACATCCTGAGATGCAGGTAGCCAATTTCAAACTATTTGACAATGGGAGCCCACAGGATGAATTTCATAAAAAAAACCTCCGTGCTGAAAGGTTATTTGATTTTATTGGGGTTTTAATTGATAGAATTTTAAAAGATAAAATTGCAACTTTTGAAAAAAATGCCGAAATCTGGAAAATGCGTTGTATGATTGGAAAAATAGCAAAGAGCTATGGAAAAGGAGTTGACTGAAGATGAATTTTTCAGTTTCATTATTAGTATCATTTTGTAAATTCGTTGTGAAACTTTTGGGTACGATTGAGATGCGGCAATTCAATTTGGAAAGAGCAATAAAACCTAACACCAAAGTAATTAGCAAAGTAACGAGCAAAGAAACCACATCAATTTGTAAAAAAGACAGTAAAATTAAAAAAGTCGCTAACTTAAAAAGTCGCTAATAACAATAAATGCAAATCACAGAAACAAAGGCCTGAGTTATACAAATTCTCTGTAACTCAAACTGCAACAAATGCTGAAGATGATTGAAAAATCGAAATAGGTCCTATACGCTCGAGAATAGATTGGAGAACTGTATATTATTCTAACTTTAATAAAACAAATAACGACGGCAAGAATTTGGTTAGAATTTTTGAAAAATGAAATAAAAATTAAAATTGAAAATATGACCCTACAACGTAACGCGTTTGTCGGAGAATAATTAAAAAAAGTTGAATAATTTGAGATGATAGTGTCTACAGAAGAGAGCATGGTTGTGTTAATGAAAGGCGTTCAACATGCATTCAGATTGAACGAAATTGTGTGATAACTTTGTTTTCAACTTTTATGCTCAATGCTTCAAAAAGTGTTTTGTTGAAAATCAGGGGTCAATGATAAAATCATTGATAAAATGTTTCGACTTTGTATATGCATTCATGATCTTGCGTTTTTTTTTATAATGAAATAGTTATCTTATATTTATTCGAAATTTTATGCTTATTATACTTGACGATATAAAATAAATTTTGTATCCGTTCACAGTTGAAATTTTTTTCAGTTTTAAAATTATTTTTATTTCAGGATCGAAGTTTTTTACTGGTTTTAAAAATGGACCCTACAATGTTGACCATAATGTAAATGTTTCAAGTGCAAGACAGTCCATCAATTCACACACATTTATAAACACGTCCTATAATAATTTTTACTTGAACAAATTTTATCTCAATTTCAAGAATTTTTGATAAGCTTTTTAATTAGAAAATAACGTTTCAGTAATTAATAAGCCATAGTATTATATGTAAACTGCTATATATTTTGAAATATCAATACAATATCTACAATGCATACTACATTGCAGCATTTAAAAGAAATCAGCTTCTACAACTTAGTAGTTTTAAAGAGCAATACAAAAACAAAATAAATGACTGAGTCGTGAAAAAAGTCTTTACGATGTTTTTATGAGTAATTATTTCTGCAATTTAGGCAGTGAATATGAAATTGTTTCATTAATATTTTGCACGCTGCAGTTCCTATTACTGTACACATAACAGTTATGATATAATTAGGATTAGCATGAAAAAAAAACAACATTTGTTTTAGTTGTCATCATCTTCTCAGTACATCATTTTTTTACATCATCATTGCTACTCACGTGAACATTATGACGTTCGTCGTCGTTATTATCACAGTAGCATCATCATAGACCGATTCATCAATAGCATGATGTATTAACAAGCCAATCAATCAACTTGGTCGTAATTAGTTTTCGGATAAACAGCCATGGATGTATATTTAATTTCATAACTAAAAATATTTGCCATCAGTTTAAACAAAAAAATTTCTTGTTAGATTTCAGTAATATTTTTAAAGGTTTGTATTTGTCCACCTTCTTAAAAACTCATTTATTTTTATAACTATCGATCACAATTTTTGAAAATTGCTCTGTATGCTAAAATCTTCAGAGTTTGTAATGTTTTGAATGGATTTTATTTTTGTGTCAAGCGTTACTTCTTCCAAAAATGGCGTAATCATAGCGTATTTATTAGCTGCAAACAAATTACTTAAATTGAAAAAATGAATTTACAGAATTGGTTAAAATTAAGTAAATTAATGCAACTTTATAAAAGAAAAACATCCTAATTGACGATAATTACTATAATATGAAATAAACTGTTTAATATAAATTAAAAATAAGTTATATATACTGTATATGTATATGTGTGTGTTTATGTGTCTTTGTATGTGCGTTGTTTCCGTATGATGTTAGTGTGTATATTTTGTTTAAATGGTATTATATAAGTCTTGTATATGTTATTAGTTTATTTTTTGTTGTTGATAATTTTCAAGCGGAAATATTTTGTTGGCTTGTTCTGTTGTTGGCGGGTAAAGTTTATCGTGCTATAAAGTTATGGCAGGAAGCGTTACGACATCTGTTTCAAGGCTGGTTGCATTATATTTTAAAATATCGCTTTTGCGCTTAATTTGGTCTTGTACTGTTTTATTGCTTCTTTGATGGGCTCGGTTGATGGTGTTTTGTGGTTGTTGTACAGCAACGTGCCAACGTTATGTTCTACCCCGCTCTATTTTTCTTCATTCATTCATTCACTTCCCTCTATTGCTTTGTAAGCTACTTTATTTACTTCAACGTTTCATATTGCTCCGTTTTTTGTGCTGTTGTGTTTTTAATTTTTTAAATTCTAAACGTAGGCACATCTTGTTTGAATTCTTTTCAAAGTTGTTTTGTAATTAATTGGTTTTTGTTGGTTGTGTTTGCGTAAGTGAAGCTGATGCTTTTGTTGTTGTGGTGGAGTAGGTAGTTGCCTTGAGGAATTTTATTGCGCTGCGTCAATGTGTTTTCACGTTGAGGTTGTTTATTGTTTTAGTAGATAAATTCGTCAGACGATCTGCTTGCTATTCATCTCTTCACGTTCTTTTCAATCTAAATCAATTAATGTCCGGTATTTTTTATCCATTCTTCATAAGATTGTGCGCAAACAAAATTTGCTAAATAATCTATTTGCTGAGTGACATGCATATTGGCAAATTTACAACAGAGTGATCAATGAAACTGTTTGAATAAGAATTGCTAGAATCCATTTGTTCCTGAAACGACTATTTTTCTAACTTCAATAATCTTTTTGAAAAATCAACAACATTTAAGAACAATTGAGTTATATCGATATCCAGCTATGCAATTTCCATTATTAAATTTTTAATTATTTATTTAAATATTTTTTTATGTGAAGTTTATTTTATTTGAAAATTTTCAGTTGATGAAAATAAAAATTGTGCTTTTCAGAAAATTTCAAGTTTACCGTTACATATTTCTTTCTTTTCATAGACTTTTCAACGTTTTCAAATTGATTTTTTAGTTTCATTTCCCAATTCTTTTCGCGTTACGTCTTACTCTACAAGCATGGGTGGTTTTTTATTTGATCCTATTGCGGATTTTGATGTGATTCATGCGATAATTGGAGATATTTTCTGTTTTTAATGATAGCGGCAAAATGCAAACACGTTCAATCAACAATTCATATATTAATATAATATATAAATAGTTGAACGTGGTTTTTAAAATTACAAAAGAAAGGATGACAGTGACTACACAACTATGGTGATGTCACCAGCGATGAGATGATTGTGCATCTAGTAAATAAACGCCCTGTCGTCATAGTTTATTTCACTTTAGGTCTTTCTATCTTTTTTACTCTAAACCATTGTGTGTCTTCTCAGTTAATTAATTATTTCTTTTCACAACAACGAGAAACCGGATGTGCATTATAGAAAAATATTTTTTTGCAGGTCCGTGATTACCTGGAAATTTTAAATAATTACAAACGGAAACAAACTTTTCATGAAAGTTCACATTTCTTGTGAAACATAACATGAAGAATTTTGGTACTTTTAGCAAGAAAAATCCAAAAAATCCAATAAACATTTAACTCAAAAAAAATTGTAGATTTAATTTTAAGTTAAACTTTCCATATACCTATCTTAAAATTGGTTAAAATTATTAAATAAATAATTATTTTATATTTGAATTAATGTTTAATCTTCAATAATTTTTAATGTTGATTAATACAATTTCTATTCTTATCTTTAGTATCCTGTTAAGCGTAGCGCACAGAACTTATGTGAAACTCATTCATTTGAACGATACATGATGTCATTTACATTTGATAATTCCGATTTCAGTTTTCAAACTTTTTTAAATTTACAAGTTCATGGGTATTGTCAGCTATTTTCACGTTTTTTTCATTTTATGAAATATTTTTTATTCCTTGCAGAACATTGGCTAAATCAACTCTACTGCTGATCCCACTGTTTGGCGTTCCATACGTCATTTTTCTTTGGATGCCTGACAAAATCCCCGATGTCCTGGACACCATAAGAATCTGCTTCGAGTTGACCTTCCACTCGTTCAACGTTAGTTCACTTTGTCGCTCTGTGGAAAGTAATTATTGGAGTTTTCTAATGATTCCTTTATTTATTTACAACAGGGCTTTCTGGTGGCGCTGCTCTTCTGCTTCCTAAACACAGAAGTGAGCCACTAAAAACTTTTCTAGATATATATATATATACACACATACATACGTACATATTCACACATACCTACATTTTCACATATACATATATTAACGCATGCGTAATGGCACAAATGCCATGTTGCATGTTGCGTATAAAAACGACACCCCTGATGGAGCATGAAGAGGATGTGACCATCCACTTGACCTTGACCTTTTGTGAGGTTTTCTTTCATCTCACGAGGGCACGCACGGCAATCTTCCTTTCATTAGACTTTATTCTCAAAACTTTTCTAATTTAATTTTTTTTAACTTTTGCGGACTACTGATGAAATTAAAAATAAATCAGTTATTAATTTAGTCTCGTTTTATTAATTTAATTTATATGTATCGAATGTTTTCATCAACGTTATTTTATTGAAAATATAAAAATAGAGGCAAGCCTAAAATATAGATGTTATAAATTATAAGTTATGTATAGAGTAATAAATTTTATCAAAAGCAAATTCATTTCAGCAAAAATTCATCACATGATCCATGTTTCACTACCTTTTTCCTTTAAATACAAAAAAAAACACCTCTTGGAAGTTATGTCGTGAAACCTAATTCTTCATCCAAACTACGTCATCCTTGCCACATTTTGTCTTATTTAATTATTCATGTGTTTAGTTGTTTCAGAGCAGACAACTACGTTACACTAACGTGTTTGTGTGTGTGTGTCTGTGTTTGCGTGAGTGTGTGTGTATTATTTGTGCTTGTGTGTGTTGTTTGTTTATGCATTATATCACTCGACAAGTTATTTTTTCCAATTTAACACAATTTCCATTCCACCACTTGCCAACAGGTGCGTGCAGAAGTGAAGAAGGCTTGGCAGCAGTACCAGTTGAAGAGGAAAGGTAACTTCCGGTGCTCACAAACAGAACACGTCTACCTGGATCAATTCGGCGCAGTAGGTCGCCTCAAGACGAACAACGGAGGGCTTCAACTGAGCAGCAAAACCAACGGCATCAACGCCAGCAACAATAACAACACTTTAAACAGTAACTACAGCATTTGCAAAGACACGAGTGACCACAAGTTAAATCAGTACTCACCTTTGAAGTCCCCTTTATAATATATATTTCATCTATGAGCAAACTTTCAAAAAAGTTCAATCAAACAATTTTTCACAGATGAAGATAAAGCTGAAACAAAATAATAAATAATATAGATACATGTAACAATCATGCGGTGCGTGCTCTTGAGTTGGCGGGAATTCAATTTTGTTTAAAGTCCATCTCAATTATTTTGGTTCATGTCAGTTGAAGTCTAAATACATTATATAACATTGTAAATAACTTGATATATCGTAAATAATACTTACAGATAAAATTTATCATAAAATGATAATGATAGCTGATAGATTGCATTTTTCTGATGATTTGAAACTTCTTGTGCAACTTCATTCCGCAAGCCTACAATGCTGAGTACGTTCTGGATGCTAATGAATGGAAAACGCAACTGAGTTTCACAGCATCATCGTTTTGATCGTGCTTATCAAAGCAACTTAACCTTAGCAATTTGAATCGTCTAGGTCTTTAAAATTCATTTTCATTACACAAGCATAGTTTATTTTGCATGACAGCGCTTTCAAATCTGACGCTGATGTAAATAAAATAAAGAAATTCTCTGTTCACGACTTCGCTGGGTTACAAAATTCTTTTCAAAACATTATGCTATTTTTGTCTATTTTCAAGAATTGAATTTGTTCCAAACAATTCAATAGCATTGGTTTTTTAAGCCGCTAGAAAAATAGAAGTTGAAAAATAATTGCACATACGTACATGCTACTGTGGTCTGCACTAACCAGGTGGACTCCGCCAGCCACATAAGGAAACAAACAACGGCACATCTGTGCAAGTAAGCTCAACGACCAGCCAAGATGAAATGAGCGTACGATTTGTGATCGATCAAATCATTGTTGCTTCTGATGTGTTCTTTTCATAAAATAATAGTTCACGTAGGGCATACTGCGTGAGTCAAAAAATCATTTATCATCCAAGACATTCTTCGTCATTCTTCGCTTCGTATTTTCCAGTCAACAAAAGTTTTTATCAAAAATCGCATTCTCTTACACACTTGTTAAAAAATCTGCTTGATCGTAAATTGGTTAATTTAAATTATTTCAATACGAACCAATACGAACACGAATTCTTTTAATTTGTACTTACATGTATTTTAATGTGCGAAATATGCTGCACTTGTTTCCGCTTATTCTATTACAATAATTTTTTTTAATTAATCAAAAGTGTCAATTGCTGTGACAATTCATTCATTTATTCATTCATTCATTCGTTCGTTCGTTTGTTCGTTCAATCACTCATTCATTCATCTATCAAAGATTCATACAAAACATCAGGATACATGCTAATGTTGATGATCAAACTGTTCCAAGGTACTTCCACCATTTCAAGCCCACCACCAAGGTGCAAATGTCCGATTTTTTCATGGTTCCCATCGATATATTGTTTTTTAATTGAAAAATTAAATTAAATTATTGTACATAATAAAAATTCAACTTATGTCACATTTGCTGAGTCCTATCGCGTTCGTTGTTTATTGCTTTTTAGCCTCATTTTTATCGTTACTATGTAGTAAAATATTTAAATAATAATTACGTAATGATCAATATAATCTACTTATTTATTTATATGCATATATAATTATATATTTTCATTTATTAATCTATTAATTAATTTATTTATAGCTACAAAATGTAAAAATTTATGGTATGAATTTTTTTATGTCTAATTTTCAACTTTTCCTATGTTTGTAAATGCGTGAATGACATTCTTGAAAATACTGTTAAACGACCTATGTAACAAATCTCATGCCACATCGCTGCGTCAGTCCTTAACTTAAATAAAAAAAACTATTGGCACCTGTTTTATTCATCGCTTTGGGGAAAGGATGCCGATTGTATTTGACGAGATTTAAAATGTTACACTACGCAAACACCAAGAAAAAATTTTGTATGTACGTTTTTTACGTGACCACTGACAATGCTAATTCATCTTAAATCAAGTTCGATTGGTTTCAAAATAACCAACGCATCGCAGTTCAGCAGCAAATATTGAAATCATCTATCTTATTAAAGACACCTTCATTTCTTCATCAAACACGGGCGAGATTGGATGCTTGCTACTATGAGTTGCAACAAATAGACGCTACAAATAGATGCAACCAAGAAATGCAATAAGAAGCGCACTTCATAAAAAGACGAGTTCTCACGTTGAAACATTTATAATCAAGAGATATCACAAGTTAAATTGGTAAAATCTGAAAATGTTGCTCGGATGTGCATAGTTATAATGCCCGACAAGTGCCTTCCCAACAGTCCTCTGTCTGTTTTGATGATCAATCACATTGCAGTCGATGTAAACTCAAAAAAAAGCAAAACGCAAGATAGTTTCATTGCTTTTCATAAACAGTGAAAAAAGTTGAATCAGGCTGGAGTTTGTTGACCCAGAGAATAGGGGTAGAAAAACTCCAAAAGGAAGACGGAATAAAAGTAAAATGAATAAAAATCCTTTTAGCTTCCTCATGTAACTTACAACAGCCACACATTGTTTACAGCGCATGCATTTGCTCTTTCTAGACGAATTAAAAATTTATCAACATGACAAGCTGTAAGTGTCGCAAGGCTTACTGCCAACACGATTGCGAAACCTAAAAATTTTCAGTAATAAAGACTAAAATTTACTCTTCGGCCAGCCTTTTATATTGAATTCTTTTTGTTTATCTTAGTGGTTTTGTTGAAAATACGGAAATGAAGAAATAGACTGAGAAATAAATTTGCGTGGATGACTAGGTCACGATAGATAGTGGAGAGTCAATCCAGAGAACTTAGAAGAAAATTGCCAGAGGCCTGGTGTGGTAGCAACGTTGAAAGAACTAATAGATGCAGTGCACATAATCAAGGGTGAGACGTACCAGGTACACAATATAGACTCACCAAAATCAAATGATGTAAGAGTAGATCTTCTATTTTGAAATTGATTCAGAATTTATACTTATACAATATACATGACTTTCTGCGTGTTTGTAAAGTTGCCGGTTGTCGAAACTTTAAACGCCGTAAAAAAAATGAAAGGAGGAGACAATTGATTAAATCAATATATATTTTCCTAAAATTGTTAAATCCAACAAAATCTAAATACAACACGACGCGTGAATATAATGAAATACGAAATAAAATATTTACACATCTGAAATAAACATAAACACACAAGGATTATTACGACAACTATTATCGTCGCAATGAAAAATCAACGATGTTGCAGACATTTTTCAATGTGATATTAACGCCATTATTTAAAGTATTATTACCAAAAAAAAAGACTACCGAGACAAGTGTGCTATGTTAGCGTCGGATGAAAGTACGGAAGGTATCAACAGTAAGTAATGTCACCATATGAAAGTGTTTTTAATATTTTTATTACGAACGTTTGTATAGCAGTGCCTTTTAAATATAAACTCCTAAATGAGTTCACATATTATTCATCTATAAACATAGATACTTAGTTGTGTATGTGTGGGCAAATGCATCTAAACACATGCACATATAGTTCATAAATTGACAATTATACAATATGGAATTTTGTTGGATTTAATAATTTCTCTCTCGAGAAATTGACAATTGTGAATCTAACAAATAACTTACTTTAAAATAATCTCCAGTTATTTGAATTTATCAAAAATAATGTTAATATGTACAAAGAAACATCCAATAATTTCAAATACTCATCAAGGCATGGCTCATGAATATGCGCTTGGATTAAGAACATATCTCAATTGGAAAACTTTTGATGAAAATAAAATAATAAATTTTACAAATAGTCGTTAAAATCACATATGATATTTCAAATATGCACACATGAATACGACTAGTTAGGGGTGAGTGGTCAAATTAACACATTGATAAATTAATTGATTAATTAATTAATCAAGGGAAAAATATAAAAAAGAATTCTGAATATAAGTAAAAATGAAAAGTTAAACTTATTCCAAAAACAAAATTAAATTGAATAAAGTATAAGAAATAAATTAAATAATACTAACGCATGAGTTAATGAACGAAATATTTTGTGTCATAAGATAACTGATATTTCCTACATTTATCGGTGATGATTATACTAGTATGAATTATTAACCTTACACACACACACAGAATATAGAAGGGCAATAAAGACAATAAATGAAGTGAATACAATGATATAATTGAAAAATAACTACGCAGCAAGCTGCATTCCCACTTCCTAATAAAAGATTGAAAAATGGTTACCTAAATAAAGATATCACCTCGTTTGATTTCAATGCAGTTACTGACCAACATAATTTTTTATTTGAATTAAATTTTGAAGTTAAAAAATAAAAAATGAAAAAATCCCTAAAACCGAGTTATAAAAAGAATTTTGTAGAATCAACGTTGATGATGATGAGGACAGGAATGGAAAGAATTTTTGGTGAAGTTGATGATGGAGGCAAGTTGCTGTCTCAACCTAGAGCACTCGTTTTGCAGCAGTTTTGATTGGACCCTGGAAAGTTGCGTGGTGATGTAGAGGTGCAGAGACGAGCCAACTGTTTGTCTCTTGCAGCGGTGGTAGGGCCAGGAGAGGAGGAACATGACGAGGAAATGATCAGGGGTCAACGAGTGCAACACATCACGAAGCTCGATGCTGATTGCATCGTCTGGAGTTGTTGAATCGTTTGCAGTGTTCGTGAAGTTGGAAGAGGAGCCAGCGTGACAGATGGAATCAAAGTTTAGTGGTGGAGAACGAGATTTGATGCAGGAAAAGAGTGGTAGTGATTCTAAAGTGTTGATCATGCTAGAAACTTTGCTTGGGTATGCTAAATGGCGATCCTTCAGCAAAATAAAAACAAATGGTTTATATACAAAAATGAAATAATAATTATATACTAATAAAAAATGATTATGAACTCGATTTAAAAATTAATTCTAGTTAACTTTTACAAGCAGGCATGTTTATTGAAAATTTTACAAACTTCAGATAACTTTGGATCCAGATATGCAGTCAACAAATGAACGTGACCTTGAACTTCAGCCAACAATCTCACAACTTCATCAACTATCCAATCAGCAACGTCCAATTGTCTGTTGGGGTCGCTGCTTGTCAGTTCGGTGCACAGGAGGTTCTCCCACAATTTGAAGAAATTGGTCAATGTGTCATCCATGCCCAGTGGCGAGAAATGTGAAGATGGATGAAAGAGTAGTGCTGGCGAGAGCTGACTTTTTGATAGAAGGAAATAACCACGAGGTAGATCTGAGGTTGAGATGTAATCATCATGTTGCGGTTATTTATATGAGTGATCATCATGTTGCAGATAATTATAACGCATCACATCAAACAACACAAAAAAATCTTATTCTCATTCAAAAAATTATTTAGAGAAGTTAATCAATAATGAAAGGTGTTTCTGAATTGTTGATAAATCAATTCATTTAGAAGTAAAGAAAGTGAAATGTAGAAGGTAAAAATAAAAACCGGATGTTGGGTCGACCATTTGCATGGCTCGAAAAAGTAGAGGTAGTGAAACCCAGTGGGGAGGGTACTTGAATCGAGCTGTGTCCATGATGAGAACCATGTCTCTCTCGGGATTGTACCCACCTGACCAACAAAAAATTAACATTTTCCATCATCTGTATATATATATATATATACAACTTGGCATCCAATCAAAAGTTGATACTGACCAATCGGAGAGAAATGACCGTCACCAGTTTGCTCCAGTGTCAGACGAGAATATGAAACCACCATGATCTACAAATCGAAATATCAACACACATTCAACAACTACAACATATTTGATAACTAGACATATTTATATAACATAACGTTTGTATCTATTTGTGAACTACTCTCTCTTTATATCATTTGGATTCTTTCATTCCTAACAATCTCTGTGCTTGCCATCAGAGTTTGACTTTTGTAAAACAAACAAAAAATATATAATGACATATCTAACACATATGATAACATATCTATATATTTAAATGCGAAAAATATTTTGCATAAAGCAACATGACTGGATGTGTAGCAGAGCAGCTGACCAAACTGATCACCTGAAGTCGATTAACATTGGAGCTCTGCCGAGTTTGCTTGCTCTCATAACGACAGTTTAAATTTTTAAGATGAATGTATAATAAAAAATCAAACTTTATCCATTCTTTTAGTGAGCAGTTTGACAAGTTGCCTGAAATTCTCTTCCGAACTCGTTGGATTCATTCTGACCATCTCCACCTGGAGCATGTTGCATGCAGCCAAACAAGCAAACTGGTCCATAGTGATCCCGTTCTTCTCAATGGTCTTCAAAGGAATGCAACAGTCCAACATGTTTTCATGGTACCATCTCCATGGACCTTCAGATCAATCATTCCAATCAAATCATTTAAACTCTTTCACTAACTCAGTGAACAATTTCCTAACTTACAAAATTACCATAAGAATCATGACCAAAATAAGAACAAATACAAAATCGCCACCTTTAAATTTATAAACCATACAATAAAGATACCATCAAGTCAGAAAACCAATTTGATTAAAAAAATGAAATATGAAAAAAGATGGACTATAGAAAATTAATATTGAATACCCTTCCAAACTCGCTTAGGATCGACTTCCAGAGTATTGAGAACCATAACAAGAGTTGAAAGACCACAGAAAGCAGGTTCCTCTTGAGTTCTGAACTGAGCAGCCAGTGGAAAATAGCAATCCATGTGACCTGATAGCAGAGCTTCTTGAAAGATTAATTTGCCTTCCTGTGAACAAAAAGACTTGCAACAGGATGGCAATTCCCTCCTGTAGAATTCAGGCAACTGAATTGATATTTTATATTTGTTAGGGTTTATGTTAGTTTCATCAACTTTTGTTGTGAAATCATGATAATTTGTTGATTTTGGTAGTGAAGAAGAAGACGACGATCTTGTAACATGATGTAATATTGGCGCCATCGTGTTGCTTGCTATCAACGGAACAAGAAAGTTGCAGTTGCAATGTGTTAGCGTCTTAAGAAGTTTCGTTGTCATCTGCAATGTAAATAATTTGTTACAATTTTATGTTTTATCTGTTGAACATTAAAAACATGAAACAATTTTTCTGTAACAATAAAATAAGCACAAATTTTTTTCTTTCAAAGATTAGAAAAAATAAAGTTTGAGAACATCATTGCAATATTACTCATCGTCCTATTTAAATTAAAAATCAGTCCAGTGACCAGAGGTTGGTAAAATGACTACTTACTTTTTAATTACCCTTAATTTACCTTTAGCCTTTACTACAATAGTAAACAAATTAACAAATAAACTAAGCCAAAATAATTTATTTCAAATTAAACTTTTGAATGAATAAAGTAATAATAATATAATAATAATCTACCAACTAGTGTCCTAACTATTACTACCTAACCTAACGTCCTAACGAACCTAACTTAAACTTAGCCTGGATGTTTGGATAATTAAATATTTTAATCATTTTAACATTATATATTTTTTTAACACTATCAAAGTATGAACTCAACTAGAACTACCAAATAAAAATAACTAATTAACCACTAAGGTCCTAACTTAGTCTATCTAATAACGCTAATGTTAATCTAATGCTAATAGCTAATGCTAATCTAATGCTCTCTAATGCTAATCTAATCTAATCTCTAATAAAGACTCTTGCTAATCTAATCTAAAAACTAAACAAACTAATAACTAATTTAATTTACTAAAATCTCCAACAATCTACAATTCTACACCGAATAAATCATAAATCACTCACCAATTTTAAAATGCTAATCTAAAAATAAAAAATAACAATTAAATTTAAATTAATTAAATAATACAAAAAAAAACTATTCAACAGAGAGGTATTTAACAAGTCATTTGTATTTAAATCTAGAGCCACCGACGCACGTAATAGCTGAAAATACAAATACGAATATCAAAAATGTCATTCACCGTGAATCAGAAGAAAATTCGTCGGCAGTCCAAACTTCGTCCATCAATTCGCTCCAGTTGTTCAGAGTAGTTGTTGAATCAAAATAATGTAAACACTTGAACATAGACAAATAGTTGAAGTAACTAATTCTATATCTTTGGACCAGGGTCTGCTGTATAATTAAATTAGATTAACCTAGCAAAATAGCATTAATGTACAATGAACAATTTTTCATGATAAATCAATTAATTAACTGTTGGATTGTTATAAATTGTAAAAAATTGATTGAATAATGTAAATACAATGTAAAAACATAAAAAAGTAAAATTTAAGTATAGTTTCATTCATTTATTTTATCTATAAAACGAATCTGTCCATTGAAAAAAATAAAATTCGATTGGTAGGAAAAAATTTTGCTGTTTTTAATTTTCTTGAATATTTTTTATTAGGCTAGTCACGCTGTACAGTGTACACACCAAGGGTAGTTTGCTATCATGCTTGTGTTCCATCTGCCTTTATATCTGCGCTCCATTGTGTTGATGTCTTGGTGGAAACGTTCGCCTTGTTCTTCATCACTCATGGCTACGAAGTTTGTTGGGAAATTTAAGTGCCTATGAAAAAAATGCAATTTTACACTCATGTTTGCTCCAAGTATTGAAAAGTTATCAACAAATTCTTCACTAAAAGATCATAATTTACTGCTTTGAAGCTTCCAAGAAAGTCTCTAATGACGTGAGGCAAAGCAGACCAAGTGTGTTTTTCTATGTCTATCATGGTTTTAATAAATTTTTTGTCTTTGATCAGGAGTATGATTTGTGGACTATCAAATATACCAGCTTTCAATTTTTTACAAGATAGAGCAGGAAACAAAGTATACAAATATTTGAAGCACTGTCCATCTTGATCCAAAGCTTTGACAAGCCTTTTCATGAGACCCAAATTTATACGTAGGGGTGGAATCAACACTTTTTGAGGACCGACTAGTGGCTCATTCTGAATGCTTTTTCACAAATTTTAAATATTTTTTTAATTGCTCACATCTTTTTTTATAGCCTTCCACGTTTGATCGTCTGTCCCATAAGCACAAAACAAGGAAACTTTCTGTATTCACTTTGTTGTCTCAGGAGCAGGGATATGTTTTTTAGGTCTTCACATAAAGTCCAGCAATGTCCGTTATATTTTATTTTTGTATTTTTTTTTATTAAAAAGCATATAAAAGTTTGTATAGATTCATGTAGTGTTTATGCAGATTACATACTGAGCATTTGTTTTCTGTATTAATTTTTTTATGACATTACCAAAGCAGTTTGTTTTAACACTAGAATGTTAATAACGATTTTTTTCTTTTTGTGCAAAAAGTAGACGTGATTGATAAAAAAAGATATGATATTTAGAATCAGCAGACCAAAATACATAAAGATCACAGATCATATCACGGTCAGCAAGATTGACGTATACCAGTTTAATCAATTTTGGGTTAAAACAAAAATTTAAAACCAACGATGGAATTTATCATCATCATTACTGCTCCCAACATTATTTGAAAGAGCATTGGAAAAATGGGAACATTTTAACTTACTAAACAGAATTCATACTGGAGACAGATTTATAAAAGATCTTGAGTGTGTTGGAGATACTGTTTGACTAAAATAGCCAAAATGTTATTGGAGCACGAAACAATCCATCTGGTCGCGTAGTTAAACAAAATGCGTTGGGGTTGGTTAGGGTTAGCCTGTTTGCTGAGCCTCAGTCATGAAAACGTTGCAATGCACACAAAATGCATGCATAAACATTTAGTTAATAAATTTAATATAAATCATATTTCATTACTTTGTAGATCAATAGCAAAATGTTCTCGTGGATAAAAAATTCATCCAGTAGAAGAAAATCACTCATCAAAAGGAAATTCTAACGACTAGAGGTGGGTATTTTCATTTTCGTTACAATCCCGTCAAAAAATCAAGGAGCATAAAATTGAAAGAAAACAACTTTACGTTCATCATCAGTGAATTTGTTTCCCATTTGCATTTTACTGTCACTCCAGCCACATCACACAACCAACCTTATCACAAATTCACAACAGCCACACCACACAACCTTTGTACCGCCGGCCTCGCCCTGCCACATTACACCATCATTTGTGACGAATGGTCTCGAGTGAGCAGTTGTGATGATGTGTTGATGTGTGCACAATATGCCGACACGTATAAATTGAGAGTTCATTTGTTCAGCAGGGTGATAACAATGTTGGGTAGTTATTGATTGGATGTAGATGAGGAGCATGTATGAATGGATCGTCTGATTTAATTTTACCTCTGAGACTGTCCTTCGTGCCCTTTTTTTCTTTTCTTGCAAGTCGCTTTATATGGTTGCGTGCAAGTGTGTATTAACATGGATGCCTAACAAACTGCATCCGTGCTTTTTATCGTGTGTTTGTCCTGTTAGCACGATTTACATTTTCATGATGGTCGCATTGTTCAACATGTTAGTTTTAGACTTTGGACAAATAGCATGAGTTATACAATTTACAAAAAATTATTCTTATTAATTTGTTCGCCAAATGAAACAGTGATAAGAGCAATAATAAGCTGTGAAATTTAACACAATGCGAAATCATTCTTCTAGCATTTTTTTTAACACAAAAGCAGTTCGGTTTTTTTTAAGTAAAAAATTTTCCTTAGGTTTCACACTCCATCCAGCACATTCAATACCTTCTGCGCTATAACATCGTTTCAAATTAATAGAAAAAACTAAAGATTCAATTTTTTGACATTATTCCAGTTATTTATTAAAATAAGCCATTTGGTTGAAAATTCATTAATTTGGATGGAAAAGGATTTGAAAAGAGATACGTTGTGCTTTAAGGATTAATGTTGGAAAAAGTTTCAATATTTTCAAATTTTATTGTTCTGAATCGTCATAAGTTTCAAAGTGTCGTATGTTATTTGCATGTAACATTTCAATTATTTACTTATATTCTCAATTATCTACAATTATTGGTAACTGTTTACTAATATTTGCTGTTTTTGGCTGCTTTCGTTTGCGAATAAACGGTTGTCTAATCATTGGACATATTAAAAAATTTTAACAAAAATGCTATAATCCGGTCAGAAAACAAAATTATGACGACGAGCAAATTAGACAAAAAGAAAACAAGATGACGTTCAGTTCATTAACATTCAAGAAACTGCTACTTTCTTTTTTTGTTTTCTATAAAACTATATACTGAAATATAACTTTTTTTAAATTATATATGTATATAATATATACGTGTGTGTGTGTGTGGGAGTGTGTATGTTTGTGTGAGTGTGTGTGCCGTCATAACTCACCAAAATAACATCCACCTGTGACCATGAACACAAAAAGCTTAAGAGGAAGGAGATTCAAAAGTTGTTGGAGGAAATTAGCAAATTGTCAAAGAAGTGATTTATAAAGTTGAAGAATATGTTTACAAAATTTTTGCAAGAACTTCAAAAATTTTCGGAGAAAACTAACGGAAAATTTTAGGAAGAAGCGTAAAAATTTACAGAGTTTAAAAAATTCGAGTCTAAAAAATGTATGTAAATATCAAAATTAAAAAAAAATCGATTTTAAAAATAAATTTTATGACTTAAATGAGTTTATATGTTTCCAAAGTTGTCATTGAATTCGTAGGAAGTTAGCTTTTGAGTTGAGGACTAAAAAAATTAAAAATAGAATAAAGATTGTGAAAATAGTAGACATGGAAGAATGATTAAATGAATAAAGAAAATAGTGGAAATGGAAACGTGAGGTAAATCTAAAATGGATACCGTTAAAACCGTGTAATGTTATTTGAAAGTCCGCCGTTTTGATATACGGCTTATTGCTTGTGTTCTGCAAACTCCTTATGCTTGAATGCTAACATTTCATGCACCTGGTTTTGTGTAAGCTTTGTTCATGATCTGCTCACTGCTGACAGATTTTAAGAAAGAAGAAATTATAACAACGAAGAGAAAGATTAGATTAACAACTGATTATTTTGATTATTATATATTATATTATATTCGATAAAAAAAACAGGATTAATCATTTTTAACCCTTTTCCATGAGCCGACGTATGCAAATAAAATGTGAGCATTTATGGAACGAATTGAAACCTTTTAGGTGGTCTTAATTCCAACAAAAACTTTGATAACTTCGTTTTCAAATTTTCGATTTCAAATAAATTAACGTGTTTATGTAAAAAAAAGTTCTCTTCTGCTAACTGATTTATCGCTTTCTTGCACTTTCACGTGCTAATTTGTCTATATTAACATATTGAACTGCAGAAAGATTATGTCGGATTGTTGCATAATGTAGAGCGGTCAAAAAAGGTAATAAACAACGCGTACAACCGCATGCATGTTCGTTATACGCCTGCATAGCAATTATTCGATGACACACTAACTCATAACTGACTGCACCGAAACAATTTTTTAAAAGTTTAATTATGAAGAAATTGATGTCAGCATGAAATTTTCATTCATTTACCAGTTTCCTGCTAAGTATAACATAACATGCTCTGCAAATGTAATTTACCGAAATTATGTCTGAGCCTCTGTTCAAATATAAATTTTTATCACAAGAAACCATGAACTGGTCACACAAACTAACAACCAGCTTCAATTTAATTAAAACAACATAACATATCACAACATTTTTTTCGATCTTTATGTACATGTACATTACGAAAATATTATACACCATTTGTTTGCAACTACATCTTGCATCATAAAAGTACGCCACTGTAACCTACACATCATCAGTTCGATGAGAGAAGAACAAAACAAAAGAAATATTGCGGAGAATGATGATGCAATAAAAGTGGACAAGGGAGATCGTAAAACACGACATGAGAGGAACTCCTACATAATTTCTTCCTTTTTAGTGACGTCACCTGCGATAAATCATTCGCAGTAGGCCATTTAAATCTAACTTACGTGCACAGCTAAAAGAAGCAAGATTCTATTGAGACCATCAATATAACCCATCAATATTGTCGAGTCGACGTGGAAAATGAGCGACCAAGTGGGTAGTGACGGAGAATTTTATTTTGATTAATTTTTAAATTATCTAACATTAACCATGAAGCTATTAAAAGTGGCATGCGTAGAATTTTTTTTATTATTATTCTTTAAAAATCAGGATCTGACAGACGCAGAAACTGTAACAACATGCAAGGCAGTAGTACAAAATTAAACAAATCAGTGAGTAAAGAAATACAAAAAGTGAGGAAGAAAAATGTTAAAACATGAAAAATAAAATAAATTAGAAGAAAATAAATAATAATAATAAAATAAATAAAAGAAAAGTAATTGACAATGAAATATAAATCGAAGTAACGGCAAATTAATAGACTAGATGATGACTTAGTCTATTAATCATCGTTTACAAACTCTACCAACTTACCAAGTGCGGCGATACAGCTGCAGACCCTCAAGAAAAAATATCTCAACATTTTTGACAAGCAATATAAACAAAATTTAATAAATAAATGATACAGGGAAACTGTGAAATTAGCCGAGTCATCCGCTTTTGGAAAAACTTCAAACCCCTGCAAATCTACCGCGAATTTCTATTTTTTTAAGTAAAGTTTTAAAACATGACCAACAATAAACTCAGCCTCTTTAGTGATTAATAAGAAGTCAAATATAAGGTTAATACGAAGGGCTGGAGAAATGACGTATAGGCAGGCATTCGATGGCACTCTCATTACTTGATTGAAAGACGCTGGAGGAATGATGGAGAGCATGAAGACGTGTCGTGAAATGCTGCTACTTAATTATCAACAGAAATAAGTCATAAGCTTAAGTTCACATATATGTGACAAATTTATGTACACAAAAAATGTTTGGTATAGGTACGTATGTCTGAGCATACTTAAATGTACTTACTTGTACGTACATAAACGTTCGAAAAAAATATTAAAGCTGCGGTAATCCTCCATTATTGCCTGCCGCCATCAAGCATGGCGTTTCTAATGCGGTCAATGCTGACACTTGTGTAATTGCGCTCAAAAGACAATATAGATATTAAATTTGTTTTTAAATTAAAGTAAAGTAAATCTGTCCTAAAAATATTTGACGACAAACATCGTGATGACGTAGAAATCTCTGTCCTGAAGCGCTGATGCAGTTGAAGATTTCATACATAGCAAATCAAGTGTGTTTGTATTGTGTACGTGTGAGTGCAGAGCAAACGCAATGAATGACAAAAATAACGCATGCGAATCTGACTATGAATACGTAATGTGGCGTTCAGCAAATGTGATAAATATATTTTCTGTATCAATTATTATAACATTATAAAGAAGAAACTGCTTTGAAAACGTCGTAATTAAAAACTTGTAATATTTTCATCAAAAACTCGAATCAAAAACTAAATCATAAAATAAATTTGATAAACATTGACGATACTGAATGTAATTAAACACAGACATGCATAAACACTCACCATCCATCCAACCAACCAACCAACCAACCAACCCACCAACCAACCCACCAACCAACCAACCAATTGACTAGCCAAAAGCCATCCAGCTACCCAATCAATTAACCAGCCATCCATTCACTGCACAGACGAATAAGTATTAGGGATTAGGTATCAAATCTGCGTCTTTGTGAATGTTAATTGCAAATAAATTTGTACACTTTCGTGAAACTTTCTCCCTCCCTCTCTCTCTTTCACACACACATACACTAACACACACACACACACACGCACAAACACGCACACACACTAACACACGCACATACACACATTCTCTTGCATGCACAATTTTGAACACGCACACAACAAAACATTTTGCATGCCAAGAAACATTCGGAACAAAGACAAATTCAAATGCATCTAGGACATTTATTTGAATAGATGATCATAGATGATAACTGCTGTTTCAAACGTGAACATTCGTTGAACAAAAGTTCAATATTCGGTCTCAGCATTTGACATGACGTATATTTGTTCAGTAGAAATCCCAATGAGTTCTCCTTGTATGAAAGAAAAGGCCAGGACAATAACAAGGTCGTTAAAAAATGAGATACTGTCAAAGAGGAGATGGACTTTAAACGCGTGTTCTCTGGATTATCGACCCACTTTTTATCCAATTCGTTTCTAAGAAACACCTCATCCAATGCAGCTGGATGGTTTTTCGCAAATTTATGTCTGATGAGGGAATACAACGGAAGAAGTTCAAAACTTGAAATTAACTGAAGCACGTTTGTCGTGTAAATTTTCATGCCCACCTAGAAAAACAAAACAATTTTTAAATTCAGTCAATTCAAAAACAAGAAGCTGGACAATAAAAAGAAGAACCTTTTCAGCGTATTTAGCGTTAATCTGAGCGGTCATTAAATGAATGCCGTTCTCGAGCTGACCCAGCAGACGTATAATTTGCACGACGGCCATTTCGGCGGCATCGATGCCAACGCAATCAACGTTAGTGAGATCGATCGACAATACATTATCCCAACTTTTGAAAAAATAACGCAGTCGCGAGTCTAATCCGATAGGACTGAAGTACGATGATAATCGAAACAGGAGCCCAGGGTTTAATTCGTTTCTTGATAACAATATATAGCCCCGTGGTAGATCTGCAAACGAAATTGCCAATGTATTTATGCACCGCATGACATTAATACAATTGCTCGTGCTGAAAAATAATTTAACAGTCAGCCGGACGAACCGCAAGACGGGTCCAATCTCTGCATGGCTTTGAAAAGGAGAGATAATGAAACCCAGTGAGGGGGGTATTTAAAACGCGCAGTGTCCATTATTAAGACCATATCTCTCTCGACGTTGTAGCCACCTGGTTGATGAAATATGATGCGATGCGATCTTAGTGTGCCGATGAAGCCAGGTGTGATGTCATCTAAATTTAATATGGATGTTACTGGCAATAATGTGATGTGATGAATGTAAAGAAATGTGTGATATGACGATGAAAATGATTAAATGGTGAATATGGAACAAAGATTTATATTGAGAAGAAATTGCAGATGTGATCAGATCAATGAATTTGCAAAAAAAGTCATTAAAGGCAGTTGAAGGAAAAATGTAGAAAAAATGATGTAACGACAAACGTGTAGTAGTTGAATCAGTTGAATTAAAAATATAAAACTGATTATATGGGATGAAGAAAGCAATGTGAAATGGTGCAGCAGTTGAGGCGCCCAATCCTGATGTTTAAGTGACTGGGTTCGAATGCAAACAAATCACCACCCAGTGGCCATTGCCAGTGCTACCCGTTGTGAGCAGTATTTGTATAAAAAGTCAGTAAAACTCATTGTTATAACGGAAAAAGTATCCTTTTTGACGAAAAATTACGTGATAAACAAAACAAAAAAAGTCGTCAGCCACAAATGTTGACACACACGGTCAACATTGGACCCCCGGTCAACGTAAAACACTTTAAAAATTAAGGTCCCCTGCTAAGTTGTCAAGATTCGCCACTATGACCACCCACCGCATGTCACGCGTGTGGTGCGTGGATTTACGTGCATTCGCATGCGCTGTGTTGTAAAAATTTCTGCAAATTAATTAAACATTCGCAATTTGCAGCTTTATTCATAATTTAAATTTAATTTATAATTGACTTTTGAAAAATATTGGTAATTCACCCACCAATGGGTGAAAAGTGTCCATCTCCTGTCTGTTGTAACGTAACCCTTGAATATGATGTCACCAGAATCTGAATAAGTGCACGATTATAAATGAAACTTTAGAAAAATAAGTTTTAAACCAATACTTGATGTAAAATAGTCCTGAAACCGTAAAGAAACAAAACTTCAAAAAAAAAAATACTGACACAATTGGTTTTTTGAGTGACAGACTTCACAAGTTTTCTGAAAGTTTCCTCAGAACTGTTGCCATCAACTCTGGTGACCTTAGTTTTAAGCATGTTGCAAGCCGCCAGACAGGAAAACTGGTCCATTGTGATGCCCTTCTTCTCAATGATTGCCAGGGGCACACAGCAATCCAACATGTTTTCGTGGTACCATCTCCAAGGACCTGGTTTTACAATGAAAAGTTTAAACGTTATTAATTAGAAGAAAAGGCAATAAAAAATTAAAACTTATAAAAAGATAGATCACATGTAAGCGAATTCGCTGACCCTTCCAAACCCTGTTTGGATCAACTTCCAAGGCATTTAAGACCATGACAAGTGTGGAGAGACCGCAGTATGCTGGCTCGTCTTGAGTTCTGAATTGAGATGCTAATGAAAAATAACAATTCATAAATGGCCCAACAACGGCTTCTTGGAATATTTTCTTTCCATCATCAGAACAAAAGGAAATGCAACATTTAGGCAACTCTCTCTTGTAAAAATTTACTGGCTGTTCTGCTGGGTTTACATTGTGATCTAAAGATGTAGCAGTTTTATCATAATGAACGCAAGTGCAGTCTGAGCTTGAATAGTTTGAGTTGAAGCTGGTTGAAATTTCAACAACCTGATTTGAAATATTGTTGTTGTTGTACTGAAAGTTGCAACAAATGTCAGAGCTTGATCTCGTAATTAAAGAAGGAAAATATTCAAGTCCACAATAATTCCAACAACTGTCTGCCATGTATGTTTTGAATGATTGAATGCTTTGTTGAACAACACTTAACCTATAAATATAACAAACGTTTTGAATGATTGAATGCTTGGTTAAACAACACTTAACCAATAAATATAACAAACTACAGTTAATCCTAAATGTATATAATGAGTGGCATTAATTAAAAAAGTACAGTGTCTATATAAAAAGCAAAAATAAGAACAAGAACATTTATGAACAAATAAATTGATGGTAAATTAAAAGAATAACACTTTTTAAGCATAATTATAAGTTTCCTCTGCATAAAAATTATTTGAAATCATGATTAAATTATTTCAATATGAAGTTTTAGTTTAATTTATCAAAATAATAAGGAATGCTTTTCCTTATTTACTACTAATTGTGCAAAATAACTAAACTTAAATTTGACTATTCTATCTTATTTTTCTAATCTGAAAAACTTATATTAATATATATTTTTTTTAGTCTTTATTATTGCTGCTCTGTCATACGCAGAACCACTTACAATGTTACAGATATATTATCTGTATATCTTTTATGTTCTTCATTTCTTCAACCATTGATTTGAAGCAGCCATCTTCGCCACAAAGGCTGTTTATCCTTTTCACACGACGTACACATGTGTTTTATGTGCACGCGCTAGCACCGCATCACATACGCTGAGTATATGATAGCCATTGAGATGTATGACTCAGCGCGCATTTGAACCACTGAGCCATCTCGCCGGCCAACATGCGACAACTTACGTCGTCTACCCATTTACCAGCCTCGAAAGGATGGACGGCTGGGTTGGCCGGGGGTCGGCTACCCGGATGAACCTGTAGAAACTGCAGAATTCGAACCCGGGTCGTGGGAGCGGTAGACGGACACTCTAACCACTTGGCCACGAGACCCCTATGTTCATATTGTATGAAGAATTTGGATATTAACAGTTCTATTTTTAATAAATTTGCATGATGAATTTGGACAATAATTCTACTTTCAATAAATTGAACAATTTCCAGAAAATTCTAGTAAGGAAAATTGAAAAGACAAACTTTAATTTGGCGTTAATGCCAACAATTCGGCATAATTCACTAAATATACATACATTGTTCATTACATTTAAAAAGCTAAATATACATACATTGCATAAACATTTTTATTTTTGGTAGTCAGATGGTGAGATGTGTCAGGTGTTATTAATGTTGTTTAATTTATAGTAAAAAATAAAATGTTACAGACAATAGCACAAGGGTATGGTAAAGGAAGACAATTTTATTTAATGATAGTTCTATCTATTCTGTTCCAACTAAACTCAATTAAATTCTTATAATGACAACATTAGAAATAACAAAAGATATTAAAAATTTAACCTATATTAAAATTAAATATTATAATAAAATAAAATGAAACTTTTCTAATTTAAAATAAATTACTTTGGTAGTTTGATTGAATTTTAAATAAAACTTCTTTAGAACATTTTTTTGTATATTAAGTATTATAATAAAATATTATATGCTTAATTATAATTTATTAATCATTATTTTTATAAGATAATAATTTAATTTAATAATACAAGATTAATTTAAATTTTAATTTAATTAATTAATATTAATTTAATAACAGAAATTAATCGAAAAATATTTTACTAAAGAAAATTCATTCATCGCTAGCCAGACATTACCCAAAAAATAAATAAATGATGAAAAATTAAATCAATTATTAGATTAAATTAAATTAATAAAACCGAATTTGATAATGACAACACGCATTGTTTACATTTTTAAAAACTATCCGGCAATTTAAATTCTGGTTAAGATGCAACTTACATCTATGGTACAAAAAACATTTATCATTCAATTAAATATATATATATCTTATAATATATTTTAATTAAATAATTACATTAATTATCATAGATACATATATATATAGAATATATATATAAATATTCATATATATATATATAATATACATATACATAAATAATATACCATTTGATTGATAAGAATATATATCATAGTTATACTCTATATATGTGGGCATCATTAATAAGGCCACCTTTTTCCTCAGATATTTTATTTCTGCAACGTATCATGTCTATATTAATAACTTTTTAGACATGCTTCTTTAGAGTTTGTAATGCTGATGCTCTAGAATGAAATTAATTCAAGTGATCATTTGATATCAACACATGATACAATCCAGACGGTTTCACAGTTTCAATTTAAAAAGTTTAAGTGTGATTCATAGCCATGTGAAATAATTTATTTCAACTTGTTCAGTTTTTTATCAATCATCGTTTGTTTTATTAATTTTGTTTACAAATATTCTGCTGCTGCGAGTTTGGCCTTAAACACACAAAAATTATGTATTTTTATCATCCGCTTAGCGCAAAGGTTAATAACACCAACACGCTATCACGTGCAGACAAAACAAGTGATCATGTTGAGTCACAAAATTTAACTATCGTACAGTTTTAGTCTTGTGGCTTTGCATTAAACAGAACGTAAAATTTTGAAGATTCTTGATGGTTTAAACTACTTGGCTCATTTTAAAATTTTTTTGGTTTTGCATGAAAGAATTATTTTATGAATGTGACCAAAACCAAATAAAATATCTCATTAGGTGTTATGCTTTTCAACTACATGAGAAGAATAAAAACCCAACAAACCGAAAAATTTTATTACCCAATGAAACAATCTTGCTAGATTAATTTGAGCAAATCGATTTGAAAGTGTCAGGATGCAGTGATATAAATCACGTTTTGACATTAAAAGACTCATATACCTCCGTGTGATAAATATGGCCATGTTTTCAATTTAACGTTGTGATAAATGAGTTGCGAAGAAATAGTAGGATGGAATTGCAGTAGTGGAACGACAGGATCCAGCGCAAGCATGCATGTATACTCTCCACATATCCCCTGCATAGCCTCCCTATACTCTCTCGTATATGTAAACATTGGCTCGATCATCATTCACTTAATATACTTCGGGCGGACAAGCGTGCATGAAAAAACTTCCGTCATACGCTTCAGTTCCCGTGTGTTTTCTTTCTTTGCCGTCTCTAAATTTGCTGCAATTGCTTCTATTCTTCTCATTGTTGTTTTATTGTTATTACTTTTGTCGTTGTTTTAGTTGTTGTGTATTTTTGTTAATGCCTGTTTTTGTTTATGTTATTTTCTACTGCGTTTTATATCATGAGAAATTTATGGCCTGATCACTTACGAGTCTTGTTACATGCAATCCTTTCTTGTTACTCTATGGCAAATTATTTATTTTTATATTCAATTACGTGACAAATATTTTTATAGAATAAATTTGAAATTACATAACTGGAAGCTGGAAGTTTTTGTACATTTATTTTAATAAAATGTAAAAAAATGTATGAGTTGGTGCTGTGGCCACATAAATAATCGCAACAATTATTCTAAGGTCACGTTCGAAGTCACCATGATTTTTATCACATCACCCCTCCTGTATTCATTCATTCCACCACTATTAGTCATTTCGATGCATTTCATTGACCAATATTAGTCATTTTAATGAATTTCACGTTCAATTTTTTTTAAATGAATAATTTTAAGTAATACACACACACAAATTTGTGGTAACAAACATCATTTGACACAATGATGATGAGTTATAAGTTAGAGCAGATCTCGTTACGATGTTGCATTATCAAATTAACGGCTCATTTTATGCGTGGCTTTCAGACAATTGTTTATTTATAGCAAGCTCAAATCCAATAAATAATTTAATTGATTTAGCGTTTATTGGTTCTAGCAATTGCATTATTATCCAAAATGAAAGTTTTATGGAAGCACTGAATTTAATGTGACATGCAGGATGGAAATAAAAGCTATCCTATACTGAAGGAGGGTCACTAGCAACATTCATTTGCATCACGTTTCGATGTGTGTGTATTTGTGTCTGTGTGTGTGTATTGTGTGTGTGTGTAATATGTGTCTGTCTTTGTGAGTGTTTCTCAATCAGTGCGTATATTACGTGTGCTTGTGTGTGTGTTTGCTTGTTGTGTATTTGTAAGTGTGTTTAAGCCTCTTCGTGCTCACGCATGCGTGTGTTTATTTTGTATATGAAGATACTTTATTTTGTGCAATTTCTATGCTGCGCTATTTACTGTCAGTGCGTGCGCGTGTATGTGTACAACAGCAATTTGCGTGTAACGTGCGACTCTGTGCGTGTGTGGCATACTTCGGCTTGGTTTTATGTGCATTTACGCATGGTTAATTACCTTTAAACTTTGAACGTTTGTCCTCTGGTACTTTAAAAAGCATTTACATTGTGTAGTATGTAAACATCAATTTATATTATGTAGTTGTAAACATCTTATTAACGAGATTTTTTAAATTTCAAACCTTTTTTCTATTTTTTAATTAATTTCTTTTGTGAAAATGTTATAATGTTGTTCTAGAACTTTTGTGCTATTTAAAATTCTTTAAAAAATATATACAAAACTTTTTAATGGACATAAAAAGGTGAAAAAATGGAAAGATAATTTTATAAACTCTTTCTTGTCTGATTTAAACAACAATAACAAAAATTGCCACGTCGAGTTTTTCATGTCAGCCCATTCATATACTCTCAGGCGCTAAATATGCAAGGCTTTGCTTATGGAATCCGAACTTAATTATCACAGAGAGGAGCAAATGAATGAATATATACGTTCAGTGCATTGGCCAAGAGCAAAGTTCTCGATGCATTTTTATGCAGGGTTGCCTCGTGGCATTTTATGATGATTGTATTCCTTTCTGATTGATTATGTACGTATCATTGATGTCATTGTTTGTTTCGGTAGTCTTGTGGTTCTTTGTTGTTGTTGTTGTTGTTACAGCTGTTCTTTATATTGTTGTTGTTGTTTTTGATGTTCTTGTCGAACTTTCTCGCTTACGAAGCACACACCTTCAATGATAAAATGATGAACGATAAATATGTTGGTTTGCAGGCATCGCGATAGAGATACGAGCGCCTCGCTATATTATTTAACGTGACAATTTCTATCGATATTTTATTTTCTCTCACTGTTTTTCAATTATTATAATTTTTATTATTACTATTATTATTATTTCTATTATTGTTTTTATGATTTTTATTATTAAAATATTATTACTCTTTACTTATTCCACTCCAATTCTGTTGGGACACAAGTTTTTGAATGATATACAGTTCCGAATTTATTTCTACAATTAAAACCTGCACGTTATTATTTTTGCTACGTTTGATTATTAGACCAGATCGTAAATGAAAAAAAGTAGGAAAAAATTTTCGTTTGAAAAGATAGCATCTTTATGAATGGAATTATTTGGGATAACTTTATCTGTTAGCATCTTTATGAAAGGAAATGTTTGGAATAACTTTATCTGTTAGCATCTTTATGAATGAAATTGTTTGGGATAATTTTATCTTTTATATATAACGCTTGAGTAGGGAAAGATTTTTTCTGTTGGTTTCAATAATAATGATCATAGTGCAATAAAAGAGCACATAGGTATCATATAGAAAAGTAGCAGTTGTTTTTCTTGTTCATTAAAAAAATTCAGAATCTGACAAACGCAATGAAATTGTATAAAATAATAACGAAAAAGTATAGTTCCATAGGGGTAGTAAAAGCTAGAAAAGAAAAATTTTAAATTGTAATCATATTTTTTCATTTGTGATTAGTTTTGTTGAAGTAGTAGTAAAATTAGTAGTATTATTATAAATTTGTAGTAATATTAGCAAGTGGCAAATAATTATGTGACGTTCTCAAGTATTGAAATAAAACAGAGCACTAACTTGTCTGAGTTATGCTGCCTCTCCTCTTAAATCAAATCTCGCCTGCTAGAAGTGTGAATATATCTATTGTGGCAAAAGTTTAGAAATTTTAAATTATAAATGTTATTATTGCGACAACAAAATACCATTTTGTGTGGTTTCTTCAACTTTTTATTTTCATAATTGTTTTAAAAAATAATATTTTTGTTTATAAAAGTTATATTGATTGGTTTAATCTGCTTGTCTTCATTAAAAAAGTTGAAGTAAATAATAATTACCTTAGTTAACACACAAACACGCGCCCCATACCTAACATTCATAACACAGCGCACCCACTTTCAGTCATTTCGTCTCATTTCCGTTTTTAAAAATAGCTGAAACTTTGGGAATTTCGTTTAAAACGTTTTTAATTTATTTATGCTTTTCTAAAATAACAATTTTTGATGTAAATTTTTCTTCTTGATAGTGACTATCAAATAATGAAAACAGATAATGAATGCATACGAAAGAACCAATTTAGTTTGAAGATAATCTTGATAATTTGAGCGATATATTGTTTCTTCAAGTTTAACGTTTTTTTTTCATAAAAGCAAACATAATGAAATTATTTTCAATGATTGAATACCTTAAACAAATTGTTGACAGGGAAGTTTTACTGTCAACCACTTATATAAAACTTTTTCAACCATATTAATTAGTTAACTAATTATTCATAGAAACTAACTTAAATGATATATTTTTATTTATCGTTAATTGAATTGTCCATACAATCACATGCATTTGCACGTGCAATGAATTATTTATTTTGTACATCTTTCAAACTTCATTAAAATTATGAAAAAACATCATCTCAAATTCAAGCTTCTTCTATAATAATAACAACGTTTTTGATTCATTCATTTAGAATGCACGCTATAATACCTCCGAGAACCTCGGAGAACACGTTGAACAAAAGAGATGCATGGAAAGATGGAGCACAAGTGACTCTCGGAAGAAGTAATCTTCATAAATTGTTTCGTTAGTCTTTTTTCCGCTTCAGGAGTTTTTTTCAATTTTTTTTTATCACGCAATGATGTCCGCACAGGCCGGTAATTATCCACTAACTTCTCTGAGCATCCATTGTTTTTTTTTTTAATAATCACACGATGATGCATCATCAGTTTATCAGTTTAACATCTGATGCTTTGTCGATTCTAATTCTATATTTGCATTTTTACTGGTCAGTGAATTAGTTCAAGTGGTAGAAGTGCAATGTCTTCCGCAATTGTTTCTGGTCTGCTGATCTGTTAGAATGTGTTTTTGCACGAAACGATGGTATGCGGGAGGTGCTGGCTTCGAGTCGATGATGGGAACGGTTGTACAGATTTGGCCTGAAAAATAAGTTTCATGTTTTTTTACCTTTTTGTCCTTTTCTCAACAAATGTTTTAGTTGGAGTTGCTCTAATTTAACTTGGAAAACTAAACCAACCCGTTTCCGAAATTTATTATAGGTGCAAACAGATATAGACATATAGACCTTCACATAGTAATACTAAAGTTTTAAAATGTCATTTGCACCAATTCGGACAGGATTACTTACTGATTTGAAATATTTAAGCACTGTATTTCGCAACACATTCAGAAAACGTCTTCAGAACAACAGTTTGTTCAACTGCACAGAATGACGAAAATAAAATGAGCGCTTCTAAAATCAACACTTGAAAAAATGTGTTGTAAGTTCATCATTTTAAAACAATACTTAAAATAAACATTTAAACTTACAAAACACGTTATACAATGTATCGAGCCTCTCCTTATAATGTATAGCTTGACTAGGCCATCATAATGACACGATTGGTTTAGTACGTAATCCATATAATTAAACTGATAAAGAAATTTAATAACAAATAAACATTAAAAAAAGTTGTATAATAAAAAATTATAATGAATGGATTAAATAATATCGTGCTTTGAAACACATTAATGGCAATATAAAACATATGAAGAGCTTGTACATGTACAGTTGTAATGTAGTTTTTCTTATGTAACAATTTGAA